AGCCAGGCCAGACCCCTGTAGATGGGAGAGAGGTAAGAAGTTAACAACAGCAATATGCAATGACAAAACTGACGACACCAGCGAGGCAATTTTGAAATGGCTTGATCGCGTTCAAAGGTGGTTTCCAGAGTCTGGGGAATTGGAGCACACATCGAATCATTCCCATCTCCCATTGCTCGAATAGGCAGGGAGGGTACCCAGATACGAATACGAACGGTCCGTCATTGGACGAGTCGGCTGGTGCCACCGATTGGTCTCCTCCCCTGTTCCCGATTTTCTGGCGCAACGTTCAACCTGGACCAACAGCGACGCACAGGTGCTTCCGAGTGGGAAAGGGGGGAGCACCTCACCTGGCATCCAAGCATCTCCAGCAAACATGGGAAAGAAAGGGCAGAAAACAACAGGAAGAAAAGGTTGCGGTGCGGCTTTCACTCTGCCACAATGCGCTAGGAACCCTGTGGCAGACGCCTCAAAATCGATCCGGGTGGCCAGATGTCACAGCTTCTTGGCTCCACGACACTTTTTTGACATGCCAAATGCTTGACCGCCTGGCCATGCAACCTTCCTTGAATACTTAGGTACCTTGCTTGGGCTTAGCTGCTGGCCAGGCGCACACAGACGTAGTGGTACTGCTTGGTTACGCAAAGAAAATGTGGAACCCAACAAAACGCGGCAGGTATCTAATCTCATTAATGGATAATTTAAAACCACTGCTGGACCCCCCTTCTCGATGCCTTCCACTTTCTTCGTGCCACTGATATTCGTGTGTTGCGTACGGTCACTACTCTTGAAAACACAGGCAAACCCGATAACTGCGCCAAATCACTTTGATTGACGCATTCTCCTGTTCTCACCCCCTCGTCTGCCCAGTATGGGTCTCCTCCAAGAAGTCGCGGGACCGGTGTCCCAGCAGTTCCAGACTCTGGGAACTGCGTCGCAAGTTGCAGTCGTCTTCGCCTCCGTCGTGGTCGTCTCCGTCATCCTCAATGTCGCAAACCAGATCTTCTTCAGGAACAAGAATGAACCTCCCATGGTCTTCCACTGGTTCCCCTTCATTGGCAGCACCGTCATCTATGGCATGGACCCCCCAGCTTTCTTTAAGGCCAACCGCGAAAAGGTATGCGCACTCCCACCGAAACTGACTCTCGCCGATGTCGTCTCTTACTAACGGGCGCTGCTCTCACAGTTTGGTGATGTGTTCACTTTCGTCCTCCTCGGCAAGAAGACCACGGTCGCCCTCGGAACTCAGGGCAATGACTTCATCCTCAACGGCAAGCTCAAGGATGTGAATGCTGAGGATATCTACACTGTTTTGACCACCCCCGTTTTTGGACGCGATGTTGTCTACGACTGCCCCAACGCCAAGCTCATGGAGCAGAAGAAGGTATGCGGAAAGCCTAAATTGTGTTTGCGCAAGGTTGTATGCTGACGGTCTGCGCGCCCCTCCAGTTCATGAAGATTGCCCTCACCACCGAGGCCTTCCGCTCCTACACTCCCATCATTGCCGACGAGGTTACCAACTACTTTAAGCGCAGCCCTGACTTCAAGGGCAAGTCTGGCGTCGTCAACCTGCCCCCCAAGCTGGCCGAAATCACCATTTTTACCGCCTCCCACGCTCTTCAGGGCGCCGAGATCCGCAACAAGTTCGACGAGTCCCTCGCTTCTCTGTACCACGACCTCGACATGGGCTTCACCTCCATCAACTTTGTGCTGCACTGGGCCCCTCTCCCCTGGAACAAGAAGCGCGACCATGCCCAGCGCACCGTTGCTCAGATCTACAAGGACGAAATGAAGGAGCGCCGCGAGCAAGGCCGAACCAACGGACTCGATATCATGACCCATCTGATGAACTCTACCTACAAGAACGGCACCAAGGTCCCCGACCATGAGATCGCCAACATGATGATTGCCCTCCTCATGGCCGGTCAGCATTCTTCTTCCTCCACCAGCTCTTGGATCATGCTTCGTCTTGCCCAGAACCCTCAAATCATGGAGGAGCTGTACGAGGAGCAGGTTCGTGTTCTCGGCGCCGACCTTCCTCCCCTGACCTACGAAGACCTCGCCAAGCTGCCCCTCAACCAGGCCATCATCAAAGAGACTCTTCGCCTGCACGCCCCCATTCACTCCATCATGCGCGCCGTCACATCTCCCATGCCTGTTCCCGGTACCAAGTATGTCATTCCCACTAGCCACACCCTCCTCGCCGCCCCTGGTGTCTCTGGCTCCGACCCCGTCTACTTCCCCGAGCCCGAGGAATGGAACCCCCACCGCTGGGACGCCGACTCCCCCATCGCCCCCAGACTTGGCCGCCCCGAAGACGTCGACGACGAGAAGATCGACTACGGCTACGGCTTGGTTAGCAAGGGTGCCGGATCGCCTTACCTACCCTTCGGCGCCGGTCGTCATCGCTGCATTGGCGAGCACTTTGCCAACCTGCAGCTGCAGACCATTACCGCCATGATTGTCAGAGAATTCAAGTTCCGCAACGCCGACGGCAGCAATAAGATCAATGGCACCGACTACGCCTCCCTTTTCTCACGGCCATTGGAGCCCGCCAATATCTACTGGGAGAAGCGCAACCCCTAGATGATGAAAATTTGTAAGGAGGGTTTTTGGGTTGAGGACTGTACATTGCAAGCCATTATGACTATATATCACATGGTAAAGAGGGATAAAAGAGACTTAGACATGACAGCGCTACGGCGCCAGAAGGTGGCAGACTAAACGGTCACCACCGAATAATATTAATACAAAAGACCGTTATGACATCACGACTATCCATCCAACCAACCAGTGCAGATTACTGATGTTTCTCTTTCAATTGAAGATTTCGGAGAATATTCACAAACCAGGGTAGACCAGTATTGACATCTTGCCAGGTCTGACATTACTGAGAGTGGTGATAACGACAGTCGAGTGCGTCGCTAAGTGGCCCGGCTGATCGGCCTGGTTTTGTTTCAAGGTCAGTGCGGCCCAGGTTGACCTGGTAAGGACGTCTCAGACAGCTATAGCTATCCCCTTCCGCCCTTTCCCCTCGCATCCCTCCCCCCTCCTTCATATTCATCCCAAAAGCTGGAGCTTGAGCTTGAGCTTTAGTCTTTGACATTGTCACTGTCAACCTACCTCGCGCAATCGCCTTACGAACAGCCGCGTACCAAACGTGGGGTTTTGAGTTTTGCTCACTGACGTCGCATAATCAACATCTACTTACCCACAGACTGCTTTCCGATCTACCCGTCTCATATAAGAACCCCAATTGCGATTACGACAGGATTGGGGACCTTGAGCTTCTTTGCGACGGAAGCACGCATTATTCGTATTACAACCAGGATCTACAGTCTTGTTAACCATAGACGCACTAAACCCGGGACGTTGCCGGAATGAACACGGAGGACGAAAACCTGGGACCCCTGGTCCGCCTATGGGGCCTCCGGACGGAGCAGCTCCCGGCGCCGAACGCCACGACGGCGGACTTGGCGCCGTTTCTCATCGCCGTGCTCCAGGAAGCCGTTCCGTTCATCGACGCCGTGGCGCCCAAGGACGGCACGGCGCGCCCCAACGAGTGGAAGGCTAAGGGAACAAAGACGTTTCCCGAGTCGACGGCGCCCGTGGAGCTGTACGAGCGCATCGTGCCCGCGGCGGAGCTGGAGAAGGAGGCGGCGAGGAACCAGCTGCCCAGCAGTAGCTCGGTCGCGAGCGAGACGTGGGCGTGCCGGCGGAGCATCCACAAGGATCGGCCGGGCAAGGGGACGGCGGCATGGGAGGAGTTTGTGAAATGTTTCAAGGACGACCACGTCGAGGCCGAGAAGGCGTTTACGCCCAACGTGATGGAGGCGCGGGAGGCGCTCGCGTGGGATTGCAGCGGTATCGTCGTTGACGAGGGCGGGTTGTCGTGGGAGGACTTCAAGGTTGGGGTGTCGGAGATCAAGCACAAGCTCGGGATGCCGCTTAAGAACCGCGTGTTCCCCGTGCTCATCATCTCGGCTAGGGCCAAGGGCGCGGTGGACGAGTTTGTGGTGGTGTCGATACCCGTCTCGGACCTGGCTTCGTCGGAGCACGGGAAGCTCGTCAAGGACAAGGGGATCGTTGTGGGCGCGTACGTGAGCGTCGAGAGGGTTCGGAAGCTGCCTACCGGGGCAATTGAGTGGATCATGGCTACGGCGTCGGACGCGAAGGGGGTGTTGCCTGCGTGGATTCAGGCAAAGGCTGTTATTGGCGTCGTGGCCAAGGATGTTGCGCTGTTTCTGGGCTGGATTGCTGAGGAGCGGGAGAAGGGGACGAGCGTGGGGAAGTGGACTGCCGTCAAGGGCAATGGTGGAGGGAGTGAGGTTCCGAACCGCAAGCCGTCTATGACTTTGGAAGATGCTGAGTCTTCGATGCAGGGCGGTCGTACTTCGAGGCAGGGTGTGTCTTCGAGGAATGGGAAGGAGCCGGCTGCGAATGGAGGAGGATCTGGAACAAATGGACAGGTCCACGCATGAGATGGGGGTTTGTAAAGTTTCTAGTACGCGATACCTAAGTTGTAGTCGAATATTGAGCTAATACACATGATCATTAAAGCTGACTGAATTCCTCGAGATCTTGCTATTTGCCTTACGTTACCTTACAGCCCCTCCAAGGAAGGAGCACGAGTGGTTGGTCTGGGTTCCTTCCCACGACGAACATCTGAGAATGGTAGGAACATCCTCGCACCTGCCCTGCCTTCCTCTGACGCCATGCAAACTCTGGAACCAGACATCTGACCTGCCATCCCCGCCTTCTGTGTAGAAAGTCGAAGCCGTCCTGTGTCTTCAACCCTTTTTCACACATCGCCAGAGCAAGGCGGTTCCTAGGTTCCGGATTCTCTTCAACCCCTATTCTGCATAAGGTATAAGCAACAGACTTGGCGTTTTTCTCAGCTGTATTCGTCAAGTTAACTTCTGCGAGTTCTCCTGTTACGTCGTTCATCTCTGTGTCTACCTACCCTCTTACGTGGACCAAAGGAAGCTACAATCATCACGATGGCGCCGGCAACGTCGAAGAAGCGGTCAGCCACGGCATCAAACCCGGAACCAGCAGCTGCCCCTTCCAGACCATCTGTAAGCAATAGGAGTGCTCTGTGTGATCCTGTATGGCGATGTGAGCTCTGACACGTTACGATAGATTCAGAACAATGCCGCTGCTGCGAATAATACCATTCCCGCAACCCAGATGGCCTTTGGCATGAGCCACATTGTCATCTATCAAGAGCTCATGACCATGCGTCGTACTCTTGATGACATCTCTCGATGTCAGCGGAAAAGCGACGAGACTGAAAAGAACAGCGAGACGAGGCTGCAAGAGCTGCAACCCATACCCAAACGACTAGATGATCTGGGAGCCGAACTGAACCATCACTACGCAGCAGCAGAGGAAAAGATCCGTAAGCAGGAGCAAGAGCTTAGAGCTTTGGCAAATAGGCTCTTTCAAAGCGACGAGGAGAGGGCAGCCTTGGGCCTCAAGGTTGAGCAACTCGTAGCTAAGCAGTCCTTGCAAGCGACGCAAGAAGACCCGGACAACTGTAGGAAACTCGAACCCTAAAACGCAAAGAATGAAGCTGACATGTGTTAGCTCGGGTTGTTGATAGGAAGAGGCTTCGAGCTGTTGACGGCGATGAACACATCTCGGCACCATCTGAGCCTCAACAGCAACCGAAAAAACCACGCATTAACGTCAGCAAACCCAAGCATACAGCCGCCCCTCTGCCAGTGACAGCCCCCAGGTCCAGACCGGCGAAACCGAAGGCTTCCAAGCGCGCCCAAACGCGATTCGAGACCTTTCAGATATACAAGCAATGTAAAATGGACGCGTACTTCCGAGCGCCTCACAGAAAGGGTAACGAATTGAGAAAATTCATCAACGATTTCATTCAAGGCATTGAAGACGACGGAATTTCTTATACTGTGCAGGAGAACCTCCTGGAAAGGTTTTCTTCAGTTCGGAAACTGAAGACCCGCACAGGATCACGATTCATTGCCATAGGGAATGACCTCCGTTGGGATGATGTTTGTCAGGTCGTGGATGACCCGAAGTTACGAGAGTTTTCAGGCTGAGATGCAGGCTCAGGGTGCAGAACATTTGATATCGGGTGGAGCATATATATGGAATGGTTGTAAGGTCTCGAGCTCTAGGAAGTGACGCGTAATAGGGCGAGAAGATAGCAATGGCGGTAATCAATAGGCAGCGTGGCAGCATAGCTTGTATCCGGAATTGCCCCAGATATCCGTACTGTGAACGACTTGCTTTCAACGAACTTATTGTTCAGATGTACGGAGTATTACAGAGTGATATCTCCACCAACCTGGAAGGAAGGTGAAGGTGGTCTTGGAAGATCGGGTCTGTGCGCCACGGAGCCAGCGTTTGTCACGCTAAAGCTTACCACACGCGACCTGCAAGGCTGGTTTTGCACTGGGATAGAAGTACCTACCTACCTTCCAGGGTGCGGGTACCTTTCCAAGTACCGTGGTCAGCTAGGACCTACCCGTGGGCCTCAACTTCCAGTTCTGACTTTGCGCCTCTGGCCTTGAGGCACCGACTTGCGAGCCGTCTTTACCCAAAAATTCCATTGCGTACGGATATGCCAAAAGCTTACCCGAGACAAGGACTCCGACGTATTTGATCCGACGAATCTCTGAACATTGTGTCCTGCGTTTTTCCAGCAGCAAGGGACCCCGAATGCGCTCCACTTAACCTCCCCGCGACGATCGAGGCGCGCCTGCCTGCCTTTCAGATCTACACGAACGAAAACCTTCTCCCGATACTGACTATACCCCCTGGATGCGACAAACAGAAATACTTCGAACACCCGTAATAATTTTGACGAACGACCACCAAAGATGCCAGACATCAGTGCGCCGCCGCCGCCACGGCCGAAGCTGAAGCTCAGCGTAAATTCGCGACAGACATCATTCAGCGAGCAGAACGGCGCGACACCTTCAGCTTCGACACCTTCCTCCGGGATGAAGATCAAACTCAAATCATCACAACCGCCAACGCCGGCTGGACCAGCAGCGCAGACACCGATTAAGACAAAAGCCGGGCGTCAACCGAAGCCCACGAGCAAGCTCATCGAGTCGAAGAAGAGGGAACAAGACGAGGATGACGACGGCGCAAACCAACCGTCTTCGAAAAAGATTAAGCTTCTGAAGACGCCGAACGTATCGACACCTAGATCAGGTCATATCGTTGTCAAGTCGAAAGGCAAACCGCCAGTACACCCTCCTGGCGATGGCTACGACTCGGAAGCCAGCGACCAAGAAAAGGACCCCACACTCGAGGAGCAGTTCATCTTGCGCATGATGCCCGGAGAGCATTGCGAATATGTTAGGAAGTGCGTCGAAGAAGGCAAAGTGGGCCTACCTCGAAAGGATGGCGGCGCGGATATAATGATGAAGTTCTTTGACGACGACAGCCGGCGTGCGGTCGTTGCCGTCAAAGGCCAACCGTACGCAGCGGTCATGGTCGAGCTACCGACGATCACAGAAGGAATGAAGTCCTGGGACCGTAAAACGCTCATGAAGTCTGCCGACATCTGCCATATGCTTCTGGTCTTCCAGCCGGTGAAGAGTGACGAAGAGGCAAAGAAGGCACCGTTACCCGCGATGATACAGCCGGGCTTCAAGTGGCCTCATGGTCTCACACCACCGATGCACGACGCAACCAACCAAAGATTCGCAAAGATTATCAGTCGGTCTGAGATCGAATTGAAAGAGAACGAGGTCAAGAAACTCTTGCAGGCCGACGCGGCCGCTATGTCCTCCAAATACGAGTTCATCGACGAAAAGAAGATGCAGTCTGGCGACGAGTACTCCGACGACGAACAGGACGCCGATGGCGAGGCAGACGACAGCGGCTACTTCCCGTCTGAGGGCTATGCCAATGGCGAACTATTTGACGAAGATGATCACGAGTTGGAGGCCGAGCTCGAGGCTGCTTTCGAATTGGAGATGCAACAGCCCACAACGGAGGTTGGCACGCCAGCAACACAAGTCGAGGGAGCCACGCCGATGACTATGAACGCTGGCACACCGGCAGCCAACGCACGCGATGGGGATGAGTCCGTCGCCAGTGAGGAGGACGAAGATGACGACGACGACGACGATGACGATGATGACGACGACGACAAGCCGCCTCAGGACGAAATCAAGGCCGTCAGGGAAGATATCGTGAATCTCAAGGCAGAAATTGCAAAGAAGGAGCAAGAGAAGGCTCTCCAACAAAACAAAATTTTGCGGAAGCGTGTGGAGGACAGGTTGAAGCAGCTGAAAGCGGAATTGGCGCTCAAGCAAACCTCTATCAACGAAGAAGAGGAGGACGACGATTAAGGCAGGGACGCTTCAAGCGTTCAAACAGGATTGCAAACAGAAGGGCAAGAATATCCACTTCAAAGCAAATTTATTTACGGCAATGTATAGTTAAAGGGGTTACCATCATGCCGACTAGCTATCATATTGGAAAACCAGAGCCCACAGCGCTCTAACAACTTCATTCTTTTAATCCGTCCAGTTGATATTTTGGTGATGATATAACAAGCCGGTCACGCCGACCGTAGATATTGTACAGGAGCCCTCTTCTTGAGAGCTCTCTATGATACACAATCCCAACAACCCCCTTACGTAGCAACCATGCAAGATGCAAACAAGCCAATAACAACAGTGCCACCCACGAACACCCGCTTACATGGACTTGAGGTAGTTGGCCTCCTTGATCTTGGCCTTGCGGTCCTTGCGCATTGCCTTGCGCAGCTCGTCTCTCTTGGTCGCCGCCTCGAGGTTGTGCTCGACGTCGCCGCCCTTCTCGCCGGGCAGGTTGATGGACTGCTGCGGCAGCGGGACCTTTGGCGCGAGGGCTTCGACGTCGCCCGAGGCCAGGACCTTTGCCTCGAGAGCCTTTTGTTTCTTGGCAGCGGCCTTGCGCTGCTTCTTGGACTTGGCTGTTTGTGTGTTTCGTGTTAGATGTGTACTCATCAAAGCTTTTTAAGAGAAAGGAGGGAAGAAACGTACAGAACATCTCGGCGGCGAGATCATCCGTAGACTCGACGGCCTCGTTCTTGGACTCGAGAACTGTCCACAGCCAGTCGGGGTATGCCTCGTCGGGGAGGGCGACGGGGTCCGTCTTGTTCTTGAAGTAGTTGAGGCCGTTGAGAACGGTGCCGGGCGGGCAGGAGGAGATGGGTGCCGCGGCCTCGAGGATGTCGGCGGTGGCCGAGGAGACCTTTGGGGGTGCGTTGCTAGCATCCGTGGCGACTGGTGCGGTCGTGTCGGCGACGGTGGCAGCGGCAGCGACAGCAGTAGGCGCTTCTGCTGCGTTTCTTGTCGGCGCGGAGAGGGAGAAGGGTCTGACGAGGAGGGACGAGGCGCGAGGGGCCTGGAGACGGGGCAGGGCCGAGGCCCCGCGGCGCAAACATGTTCTGCAAATCATGGCTTTCGGGGAATCTGGTGGTTGGTTGTAGAAATGCGGACGGTATGCGTCACCGGGTGCTGAGATATATCTGTGGGTTGCTTCGTCGACGAGGGTCACCTCGAACTTTTGGTGGTTGTTGCAGGATGCGTGAGCTTGGAGCTCGGGGGTGGAAAAATTCTGGGGCAGGCGGGACGCGCCTGTTGCGCACTTGGCATGGGAGGCTCTGGGTACTTACTGCGCATCACCCAACCCTCAGCATCACTTACAACTCAAAATTAGAGTCAATTGATGCACGCAAGATAATTCTCTGCTTTCTCTGACAGCAGGCATTGAGAAAATCTTCCAAGCTAGCTGTTTCGAGAGCCATTGGGCGACCGGAAGCTGGAAAACGGATAGATGCATAACTTCAGAAGCCCTGTTTGATTCATTTGTACATATCGTGAGGGATATCGCCCATCACGCGCCGGCCAGTTGACGTGGTACCGTCACAGCCTCGTCTCTGCGTTCCTCATTTCTAAATCCTGAAAGAGGTCACCTTCGAGAGCGCCGTCCCTTGCTTCACAACAGACCCATCTACTCCATCCCATAACATAGCACATCTATTGCTTGCTGATGTAGTTCTGCTGCTCGAACAGTGTGCCCTTGACCTTCTTCTCCTTCAACAGCTGCAGGTACTTTTCTGTATATTCAATCAGCGTCTGTTCTTCTCCTGGCCTCCCGACCAAGATACACCCCCTCCGTCTCTCGCAAAGGCCTACTAACCTCTAAGGTGACCGCAGTTCTCCAGGTGGTTAACGCCCTCCTTCTTGTAGCACTTGCCCAACTCCTCGCCGACAAGACGAAGCATCATGGCGCCGACCCATTGTTCGCGGATGATGGCGTCCTGTGCTTGCTTGAATGCCTTGGTGTCGTCGTAGTCGACGCCGTCGAAAGTTGGGGGCACCTTGGGCTTTTGTGCCAGGAACATCGCGGACTCGGGGGTCGGCATCGTGACTGAGGTTGTGTATTCAAAAGTCGTCTCCTCGAGGAAGGGGTTGAGGTTCGAATTGGACCGGGAAGTCAGAGGTCGCGGACGGAGTTGAGGTCGAGCTTCGTGGATTCGTAATGGTCGATTTCGGGACCGCTGGCTGTCGGGATTGGAGGAACCTGGCAGCTAGAGAGAGAGAGGTCAGCCAGATTCCGGCGGCCTTAATTCGCAGGCTCAGTCGCGCCCCCATGGCCCACGGACCACGGCTGTCGTTCCTGCTTTCCCCCAGAGCGACTCGGCTGCGGCTTTTCGGTACGTACCTCATGGGCCCGCAACCTTGCAGCCCCTCGCACACCGCCCGCGTCGGTCGAGGGAGCAGCCCCGCTGAAAAGTTGGCAAATCGCAAAAAAAAATCTCTGTCGCAAGACCCTTCGCCCCAACCACCGAGACCCTGGCCTTAAAAGTCAAGCTCCCCTCCCCAAGCTTCGACCGACTTTTCCCTCGCGCAACCTCTCTCGAAAAAGTCTTTCTCTTGCCTTTTTCCATACCTCAATCTCTTGTTTTTGATACCCCTCCGTTCACCTTTTCAAATCATCACAATGGGCAAGACCAAGTCATCCTCCAAGGCCACCAAGGCCGCTGACCCTCTCACTAAGGTGAAGGGCGCTGCCGTCACCAAGTCTGAGAGCCCCAAGGCCAAGTCCAAGGCTGTCGCCAAGGAGGTCGAGAAGAAGTCCAAGAAGTCCAAGAAGGTCGTCGAGCCTGAGTCTTCCGAGAGCGAGTCCTCCGACTCTTCTGAGTCCGAGGCCGAGGCTTCCAGCGACTCTTCCTCCGAGTCTGAGGAGGAGAAGCCGGCCAAGAAGGCTGCCCCCAAGGCCGCCAAGAAGGCTGAGTCTTCTGACTCTTCCGACTCTGACTCTGACTCCTCCGAGTCTGAGGCCGAGGCTGTCCCCAAGGCCAACGGCGCTGCGAAGAAGGAGTCTTCCGACAGCGAGTCTGACTCCGACTCCGACTCTGAGTCTGAGGAGGAGAAGACCGAGAAGAAGGCCGAGGTTAGTTGCACCATATCTTGACTACCATAATATTTTCTAATGATTCCTCAACAGAGCTCCGACTCCAACTCCGACTCTTCTGACTCCGACTCTGATGAGGAGGAGACCTCCGACTCTAAGGAAGCATCCGAGACTGAGACCAAGGTTGAGGAGCCCTCCAAGAAGCGCAAGGCCCTTGACGACCCCGTCATCCCCGGCAAGAAGGCCCGCACCGATGTCTCTGACAAGAGCTCTACCCTCTTCGTCGGCTCCCTTGCCTGGGCTGTCGATGACAACTCCCTGTACGCCGCCTTCGAGGAGTTCGCTGACCTCACCGGCGCTCGCGTCGTCACCGACAAGGCCACTGGCCGCAGCCGTGGCTTCGGTTACGTCGACTTCTCCACCCCCGAGGCTGCTGCCGCTGCCCTCGAGGGCTCCCAGGGCCGCGAGCTCTCTGGCCGTGCCATGAACATCGACTTCTCTGGCCAGAAGCCCCAGGGTGAGGGTAACCCCGCCGCTCGCGCCTTCGATCGCGCCCAGAAGCACGGTGACCAGGTCTCCCCCGAGAGCGACACCCTCTTCGTCGGCAACCTTCCCTTCGACGTTGACCAGGACACCGTCCGTGCTTTCTTCGCTGAGGCGGCTGAGGTCACCAGCGTCCGTCTGCCCACTGACCCGTGAGTATCCCACCTGAACTACATCAACTTGACCAATACTAATACATTATCAGTGAGTCGGGTAACCTTAAGGGATTCGGATACGTCTCCTTCGGCTCCATTGAGGATGCCAAGACTGCTTTCTCTCAGCTGAACGGAGGCTACGTTGGTGAGGGCCGCAGTGGCCGCGCTGTCCGTCTGGACTACGCCGGCCAGAAGCCCCAGCGTGAGGGTGGTGGCCGCGGTGGATTCGGTGGTGGCCGTGGTGGTGGCCGTGGCCGTGGCGGCTTCGGTGGTCGCGGCGGTGGTGACCGCGGTGGACGAGGTGGCCGTGGCGGTCGCGGAGGTTTCTCCTCCACCAACCGTGGCGGCTTCGGTGACTTCAAGGGCTCCAAGGTCACCTTCTAAACGGTGATGCATGCCGCACATTGATGATTAATCAGAGGGCACTTCGCGGGCATTCCTGTGGGCTACTGTGGGCTGTCGGTTCGACACAAGTTTCTTCCCTTTGGGGATTGTGGGCTTTGAGAGCAGTCTCTTGGGAGACATGATGGACCTGAGGGCTTTTCATTTGGACCGTGGGCTTGTGGCAAGTCTCTCTTTCTACGGAAGAAGACGGTGCGGGATCTGTACGTTATTGTGGGTTGACCAAGAGGGCATTCGTTGCACTGCAACATCTTCACAGTGGGCAGACGGCTTATTATCATGAAGTTGGGGAAGATTCTCCCGATGTCTGCCAATCAAGTAGACATCGACGGAGTGGACTCGACAATTCTAGATGACGACGGCTTCTGTGGGCTCTGGGGGTTGCTTTCGACGGCTTCGGCTGTTGATGTGGCTAGTCAGGCCTCTTTTTTTCCCTTTCGGTTACTCTTGAACTTGGAACGATACCATGCAATGCGATGCAGGATGTGGAGTAAGTATACTTCTCCCCGTGAATGTCATTTCAAAAAGGCATATAATGCCCGGTGGACTCGGCGTTTAGGAACGGCTCCAATTGTAATAAAAGTTTTGGTACTTTCTCCTCGATGAATACATATTTGTCCTACTTCATACTATGCATGTCTACTTCTTACCTACCTTGTGATGTTTGATGTCGTCTGCGACCTTATCTGTGATCGTCGCCGGGTGCAAGACGGAATGTGGTTCCATGTCTCATTTGGGGTACGAACTGCCCGACTTCGGTCTTATACGGCGGTAGCCTCGTGCCCATGTTAAAACGTGCAACTCTGCGTCATTGGGCGGCACGAGGTGCGTACTCAGCCCCGTGATGACGGGTAAAGCTGTGTCTTTACCTAAAATGTCCCATTCCACTAGAACACCCGTCTCTTGGTCACTTCCTGCCCTTCTCAGCTAATAACGTCACGGGGGAACACCTGTTCGCCAGCGGATGGCTGTAAAACCTGCTCAGCCGTTTGACCTTGCTAGGTAGCCCCATTCAAGAACCTTCAAGGCGCCAAACGGAAGGCCATTCTGTTGGGGAAACGGTGGAGCGAAGTAGAGAATGGGCTCTGGAGGGCGGCGGCAGTCCAGTGCTACCTACGACAGCACGTCAGTGGAATCTGGCATGACTTAGGGGACGATTATAAGACGAGAATCACGGCGTGTCTTGGGATCGTCCTTGTCGCGGGATGCAAGTCGCGGCGTCGACAGACCACTAATAGCGCCGGACGGCCAACCCTCTCCGCATTTCCTATGCTGCCGTACTGTGTACAGAGGTAGACCACTTAACAGGCGACCGAAACTTGGAGAGCCGGTGTCGGTGTTAAGTGGTCGAGGGACTCGTGGTGGGCGCAGCTCGCGCTTCCCGCTGCAAAACGCCGTGAATCTTGACCCCACCTGACCCCCCCTGCAGCGCCTGCACTTGGCGGCCCGGACGGTGTGTAAGTGCCAAAGTGGGATGTTATGAGGCGGTACGTGGACGTGATTGCGTTCATTCAGTACGGCGGTCTCTCCTCCCCCCCTTGACCGTAACGATAGCGTCATCCATATCAAGGACATTCCCTCGTTCAGAGAAACGTCGTACTGTGCTTATCGCGCTGTTTGCAGCCAGAAAGCGGCCGTCTGATAAGATGAATGTGATGACACCTGACACGGTACGGTGGCCGGAACCTCCAAGCGCCGGCTCGAAGTGGCAGGTATCTGCCCTGCGAATAACTGCTGCAGATATACATCCAGTGACATTCCAGTTAGTCTCCTAGCGTCCGTTATCCCACCTGCCGTATTGCACGCTCAAGGTGGACACAGAAGCAGAGATGCCCCTCCCCTCCTTCCAGGTTCCCCGACCTCTACTTGCTGCACAAAGGCCCAGCCAGCCATCCACCAGCCGGGCCTCAACACCATCTCACCGACCCTGCGTGCCTGGTGAGCCGGCTATAGTCGAAGCGGTCTGCTGCAACCCTTTCTTTCTTACCTACCTTTTTTTGCTTTCACCCTTTTACTTCAACCTCTTCTCCCGGTCGTGATCCAGCGCGTTTTTCGAACCATTTACAACGTCGAGCGAACAGACAACTCGGACCCCTTGCTACGGAGATCCCACGAGCGTTTCTTATCTCCAAAACGCGGGGTTTGGGACGGAGGACGCACCCCCCACACACGTCCAACCACCTCCCTCGACGACGACAACGACAGCGGCGTCTCTAACGATTACGAACGACCTTTCTCTGTATATCTGGCTACTCTTTTCGAACTTCACAGGCGTCAAAAAACAAACACTTCAAAATGGATGGACAACAGCGCGACGATCGCGCAGGACACAACTTCCATAACAGCAGAATGTCGGCGAACGGACCACAACCCGCCGCGGGCCCTCGGAGACGGAATGACGGTCAGTTACCAGAAGATAACCATATGGTTGGTGAGGCCGATAGCATGCTGACACCTCGCACATTAGACTCGTGGGTAGAAGTCTCGTCGCAGCCTTCTTCGTCGTCCCTTTCTTCCATCGGCGACGAGATCGTCACCACCGGTCTCCGAGTGGGTGGGTCCGTGGCCGCCCGCCGACGTCGCTTACATCACCAAAATCAGCCTGTGCCACGATCTTTCCATGTCGACCAGGCGGCTATCCACGCTGGAACAAGCAGCCAGGAGGAGTACGAGGAGAGTGAAAGCGAGGAGGACCGATGTCTGACGAGCTCGACCGAGAACGTTCGGCCTCCGGTGCGGGCGTCATTCCAACAGCAGCCATCGGCGCAGGAGGATTCGGAGGACTCTGACGATAGCGACGAGATTGCTACCGCCTTGGGCCGCGTTTCCGATGATCCCGTCTTCAGACCTCACCCAAATGCATTTTCTCATCCGCCCTCGGGCTTGGATAGGAGGCACTCGGCCAGCTCGGCGATCCACCAGCATCCGCACAGCGGTGTAAGGCCCGCACTATCCCAACGATCTCAAACCAGAGTCAGCCGGGGCCCGCCAAACTTCATGTCCCCCGCATATCAAGCCGACAATGACGCGGCTCTCCGTGCTTCCCTCACGACTCTTCTATCGTGCGCCGCTGCCGCCCGTGGTCTGCCCAAGTATAAGGATACTGAGCGACAAGGCGCTCCACCCGCGCATGCCGGAGTCGGACCTAGCTCTCAACCTGTTGAGTTACGGCTGATGCCCGAATCTGAGCTCATGGCTGAAAGACCTACCCAACCTCAGACCGCCTCACCTTCCAAGTCCCCGGCTGCTCGTCCGTCACGGACGGCGATGTCTTCTGCCCCCTCGTCACCCAAGAGTGACGGGGTCGACAAGCATAAGCGAACCTCTTCTTCACAGACACGCTCGTCTCGAGCAACAAAGAAGAAAAAGGTCGCGGCCAGCGACGAGGCCCTTATCAGCCCGACGTTGCTGACATGGGTTGTCAGCGCCGGCGTGGTGGTGTTGGTGTCAGTAGTAGGATTTGGCGCGGGATACGTGATCGGCCGTGAAGTAGGACGTCAGGAAGCTCTGTCAGCAGGAGTAGGCGTCAACGCCTCGGCAGTGGCAGACTCTTCCTCTTGCGGACGGGAAGTGATTCGATCGTCCGGCGGCGGTCTTCGTCGCCTCAGGTGGGGTGCGGGGGTTGGTCGAAGCGTCGTCGCTTGAGATTTTTGAATCAGCGTCGATCATCGAACATGTCGTCTGAATCATGAAGCGTCGGATGCTATTTACGTACGGGCGGATCCGGGGTTACTGGAGCTTGTGGGCTTCCGGGCCTTTTTCTTCATACCCCTCCTGCCGGCTTTCTTCTCTTTTCGTCACGAACGGGTATGAGCGCGGACATTGACGAATATAGACGACTGCAATTTTTTTTTCATAATCTTCATGGATACCTCTTCTTCCTAAAAGGGGGAAGGAAACGCGGAACATGCCTGGTAAACGAAAACGGGGGTTCAAACCTGGGGGGGGGGGGGGGGGTTGCGTGGTGCGGGGACATTTTCAATCTTTTTTTCTGAGTCTCGTTCATGAATCTTCATCTGAAATGATCAACGATCCATGATCTGGGCTGTGGGAGTGGAAGTGGAGGAATACTAGCCAAGGATCTGGGCCGGCATGGCGTGAAAGCTTTTTTCTTCTTGTCTAGGTCTAGTCCAGGGGGGTTTTCCACGTACTGTTCCTTGTTTTCGATCTGCTTGAAGCATCAGGGCGGGGAGTTGTTCAAAGGTGTGAGGTTATCGATCGTACCTCGACGAGGGCTATTGGCCCCATGGGTTAAGTGATTTTCATTGTTCTCTGCAGCAATCGGCCGGCGGACACATTTGAAACCCCTCAATTGCGGTACAGCAACGGGGTAGCTTTAATAAATCAAAGGAGCACGGTTCAGTAAAAAATTCCTCGTCTCCCGGGGACGCCGCTTTACGCATGTTGTGCATGTGAAAGATGCCGTCCCTCTGTGGGCAGTCAAGTTTCCCCGGACCCCGAAAAGTTCGTATGATGCCTGTTTTGGGACGTTGAAGCCAGAGCCTGATCCTGAGCCCGAGCCTTGCAAGTTCTTGTGTAACTTGGATCCCTTTGGGTTTTCTTGGGTTCCTATCTTTTTCTCTTCTCAACTTTCGGTTCTTTTTTTGGAGGTCGCGTCGAAGCAAGTTTCGGTTACAGATGCTGAGACTGAGCTCAACCGGTCAACTTTACGCGGGTCAAGTGTGTATGTGTGAGAGTCTCGTCTCAACTTTTGTGTCGTTGCTTGCGTTCTTGCTAGCGTGCTTGTCGAGTCTTTTTTTTTTTTTTTAGGATAGGCCGAAAGACTGACCGATTACCAATGTCAACGAGGCTGTGTGAGGCGTAGAAATACGATGGGGTGGGCTTCCAGAGAGGGAAAGTTCAGCCGGATACCTCGACTACGTTCAGGCTCAACTGACAACAGGGGTTATCAATCTGTTGGAATATCTAATCGTGACCGAGTTGGGTTGAATATTCTTCCCGTCGGACATACACGGACGGGGAGGTGACCAATACAGGGCTGCGGTTCCACTCTCGCATCTGTTTTATCTATTTGGTTTCAGTTGGCCAGTTTGGCAATCAATCTACCAGCAACGATTAGATCTTGAGTAAACCTCCCGGACGTTGTAAGTAACTTGATTTCTACCACTGTCTAACTTTCTAGAAAGACCGAGTTTCTCGCTAGCGTGATGCCTCTCCTGAATGACGTGATGCCCTGGCCCCTTTCCTCTTCAGATTGCTGTTGAATGCTTGCTTGCATGCCAAGCCTGTTCCCCCCTTCAAAGTCCCTGACGACCCTGTAAGAGAATCTGTAGAAACCCCCCGTTCCGTCGGAAGGAGAGGATGTTGAGTCTAAGCATTCGAAAAGCAACCATGGTTCTTGGAACCAAGAGTACCAAGAGTACCAAGAGTACCAAGAGTACCAAGAGATTCCCAAGACGAGTACATCCGAGAGATCTAGATTTGTCTCAGTCGATCGTTTCGCCAAGGCAACGGGGCCAAGAAGTCCCGATACGACAACGCCTTCAGGATGTATTGCGAATGCTTGTCCCGTTGTGTCAGGATCTCACGGAGTCCGAATCCTCTAGAATATCCTCAACTTGGTGACTAACAATAGCTCACCGGCAGAAGGCGTCGAAATAGCATTCGTCTCCGTCTTTCATTTGGGCTCTCATCCGGAAGACTTGTACGTAGCAACAAGGGGCGCGTTTCCACCGGGAACCATAGTAGTGCGGATCGTTTGATTCATGTAGATTGCCCGAGGCCGTCCGTCACTCTAGACTCAAACTTTGATAGAGCTTGATGCCGATCAGGCTGCGGAATAGTCCGTGTCTAGTCCGGTTCTTACAGGGCGCTCAGATCGAGAGGGACACTGCTGCCTCTGCCAGCTCTGTATCGTCTGGGACCGCCTACAAAGTCCCTTGGCTTTGGTAACATAGCATCATCCTGGAACTTCCATCGAGGATCTTGTACGATGTATCGTTGACCCCCACCGCCGACATTAAGACTGCTCATCGTGTTCGTTCGAGTAGGGCTTGGGCTTTTTGCACCATTGGGAGCAAGAGTGAAGGCGCTTGGATCTAGCATAGAAGATCGCAGACCAGAACCAGCACGGGCCCTCGTAGAGGGTGCTGCTGGTGGGGGAGGTGCAGAGGCGGGGGGCGAGGGAGCCGCTGATGGGGGAGGCGGGGGAGCAGCACTTGGAGATGCTTGCCCAGCTGCTCGTAAGGCGGCTTGCATTGCCAGCGGCGAAGGTCCGTTTGAGGCCGGTAGAGGAGGTGGAGGCGCTGGGGACCTCGACGGAGGCGATGGTGCTGGAGCTCTGGGAGCAGCAGCAGCAGGGGGTGGTGGCGGCGCTGAGGGGGGTGCGGACGGAAGTGCTGGCGCAGACGATGGAGGTGGTGGAGGGGGTGCTCCTGGAGCAGGTGATCCAGGTAACGGAGGAGGGTGGTTGGGCGTAGTAGAGGGCTTCCGGGATGCTGGTAGTGGCGGCGGCTTCTTGCCAATAGGAGGTGGAGGCCCCTTCATCGATGCTGACGAGCCTGGCCTGGGTAGGTCGCTGGGTGTCTTGCGCAAGTTGGCAATGGATGGTGGTAGGGCCGGCGCGGCGTTAGGAGGTGGTAGAGGCGGCCTTCCCGGTGGGGCCGGCGCCGCACCGCCAGGAGGTTTTGGTGCTCCGAACGTTGGTGGCTTCGGCGCAGAAGACGACCGAACGTTGCTCTCGGGATCCGACAGATACGACGAGTCCATAGAAGCACCAGTATCAACGGCGCCACGAGTCTTCCGCAGCTTCGGCATACCTCCCGCAAAGAGTCCCCCTAGTTGTGGTGCCGCCTGCGAGGGCGGTGCAGGCGCGCTTTCTCGCCCGCTCTGGTCGCTGTTGCTTCTAGCTCGATTTCCGGGCACTGGAGGGGCGAGGCCGCCGGGAGGTTTAGGAGCACCGCCAAAGCTAGGGACAGGTGGTGCACCTCCTGGAGGCGGTCCTCCGGAGGTACCGCCGCCAGACGAACCGCCAACGACCGGCGCGGATCTGTCGTTCGTAACGGCTTTCTTGAGAGCCTTGCCTTTTGTGATATCGGAGAGGAGAGCGCCCTGTAACCCAAATCAGTATGATGCTGCGACAAGACAACCACTTCTCGTTCTGAGCTCTAAACACGTACTCTACCTCCTGGGGGTCTCGCAGGCAGATTGCCAGCTCCAGGAGGACCTCCTGGCGGCGGAGGGGGCGGGGGAGGACCGCCCATCGCAGGCATCGGCGGTGGCGGCGGAGGTGGAGGAGGCATGATGAAGCTTGCTCCTGTGTATTTTATGTATTTCCGCTTTCAATCTCGATGTGAATGATTGTTGTTGTGGTTGACCTTCGCCGATGGAGAGGTGGTCGATGGTGGTTAGGTCGTCGGCCGGAATTGGGCGGAGGTTCATGCAGGTCGGGCTTGATAGGACGGAGTCAACGGCTTCGACGGTGGGCGAGGGATGTCGTTCAGATACGGTAGAATCGAGCGACAGGGTGCTGTTTCAATAGCAGAAGGAAATCGAGGCTCTCGAGGGGTTCGATCAGAGTGTCTTCAAGGGTCGATGGGATGATGGTACTCTGGGGTCGCTTTTCAGCCGCGTGGTGTTTCGTCATCTTCGGGCAGTATCTTGGTCGTTCGCTCAAAGGCGGCGTGCTGTTAGGCGCTGGCAGTGCAACCGTTGCAGTCCCAGTGGGCTGAGGCGCTTGCCTGGTCCGAAGTACTTCCAGCTACCGTGCAGACGACACTGCAGCGCAAGTAGCTCCTAGGCCCATCAGCCTCACATGTCTCTTCACGTACCCGTGGCTGGGAAGTACGTAAGCATGCGATGTGGCGCACGTGATCCTGGGTGTGAGCACTCACGCAAGCCAAGACACCTTGCGGAATAAATCGGAATGGACCCAAAAGACCAAGTGACTGCTAGAGATGTTGAATTCTGTCTTATGCAGAGCTACAATAAAGATCTACAGCTTTAACGTCTTGGAAGAACTGGTGTTGAGAAACTCACAGCAGACGGTGTGAGTGAGGTGGCAGCGTAGCAGTTCGCGCTAGAGAGGTGCGCAGACTCTCAGAACACTCGACATGCAACGCCAGTGGACGGCTGTGGCTGCTGCCGGCCACGTTTCTTCAGTGCACCTTCAAGTATTGGCTGGGCGCTGTACTCTTCTGTACTTGCCCCAAGACGACCCCGCCGAGGAGGGGTGCCTGCCGATTCCATTGGCGCGGCGCGTTGTCCCGAGCTGCGAGAGCCTCCCTGCCGCGTGAATGATCGCCTGTAAGGCTAGGGGGGCAGGTGCGGGTAATTAGACGACGTGCTATTGGGGGGTATGGGGCTCAAGGTGGAAATTTTGCAGGAGCTCCCAGCTTCCCCCGGAACCTCCGTCGCGTCCAGAGCTCCGAGAGTCCTTCCTGTCCTCCATTTTTGCTTCATCCCACCGTCCCACGGTACCAGCGCCCAACATCACCCGGGATTCTTTGTCGGCCTTCTCTCCTCGACCAGTACCAAGCCCCAAGACGGCCTCTCCCGGTTGCTTGTCCGCCGCGGCTTCTGCCTCACCCGCCCGACCGCCCCCTTTTGCTTGATTCTCTTGGCTTGCCTCGCTACGAAACGGATCACCTACTTCGACTGCTTCGCTGTTCACCCTACTGCTGCAGCCCAGAGAGGCCAATCTACGACTTCACGCCCGATCGTTCTTTGTCTGCCTCAGATCGTCCAATCCTCACTCGCCGAAGACGCGTACGCTCCTCACCCTCCTCCTCCCCCAAGATCCGACCTCGCGCCCTATCCTCCCCGCCACGAAGATGATACGGACCGCCTTCGTCCGGCCAGCGGCTCGCCAGCCTCGATTCGTTTGTCAATCATGCGTGGGTTTATCACGCGCCGGTCAACAGACTCGACTGCAACATACCGCCAAGCCAAACGTCCCTTCGATCGTCCCTCTCCGATCTGCCAAGCTCTACGAGAATACCACATTGAGACGGGGTTTTGAGAAAAGTCGCCTGGCGAGCACGGTATCTGCTTCGGCTTCCAAAAAAGATGGTCACGAGAGGCCCGCAACGGCCAGTCCGTCGTCCAAGGAACTCCCTGATCTGAGCAAGCTGGCGGCCGTGGTTCAGCAGAGCAGAAAGCACTTCCTCTCTACGGACGGAATTCCCACTCCACAGCTCGTCATTGCAGCCTTGAAAACGTGCCAAGGCGCCGCAAATGCGATTCAACCCTATCTATCCAGGTCGGAGAATCGTCCGGCCTCGACACTCACAGCATCGACCGCTTCCAATCTGTTATCCCTGGACTCGAACTCGACTGCAGCTAAATCTGGTAGCGCGTCGATCCCGTCAGTTTCTGTCAAGGATACAGTCGACACAATCTCCGAGTCAGCATACGAAATTATCGCCCACCCCACCGTTTCCATTGGTCCCCAGGTCTTGGACTTATACGTAAACATCCAAGCTAGGCTTGGCAGGCCCGAGACACTTCCCCATGTTTTCGAATTGTATGCGTCAAAGCCCAAACCAAAGGCGGTCGAGGGTGCAATCTCCTATGTTCAGCAGAACCCAAATAGAGCAGACAAGGCAATAGAAGCAAGTGTGGCCGAAACAGCTCTGGGGGCCGCCATCGATGCCAAGAATCTGGACGCTGCGATTGGCATCGTTGAGGCCTGCTACGCAACACAAGCATTCTACCGCCAAAAGCTTCTGCGGAAGGCGCTTCTGCCCGTCTCGGCCGTGGCAGTGGCACCCTTTGGAGTCTACACTCTTGCCTCCAATCTCTCGGCATTCCAGAACACAATGGAGCCCGTGACGGCCACAAAATTCGCCTTCGCCGCCATCCTGGCTTATTTGGGGTTCACGGCGACAATTGGCATGGTTGCTAAAACCACTGTCAATGATCATATGCGACGAGTCACTTGGGCGCCCGGTATTCCGTTGCACCAGCGCTGGCTACGTGAAGAAGAGCGTGCGGGAATGGATGACATTGCGTGCGCCTGGGGTTACAGAGAGCAATGGCGACACGGCGAGGAAGGCGGTATTGAGTGGGACTCGCTAAAGGAGTATCTTGGTCTGAAGGGAATGATGCTTGACAGAGTTGAGCTGATGGAGGGAATGAGTTAAGGAACACATGTCGAGCTGAGGGTTCGTTGATGAGACGTGCGGGCACTGCGGGCACTGCGGGCACGCGGGGTGGCCTCCCACTGACGGCGTCGGAGCGGGCATTGGATGGGGGAAAGAATTGATTGTTGGACAAGGGAAGCTCGTCAGTTGGAGCTGAGTGAACCATGGAATATCTGTGCAACTGAGTTGCAAAGTCTGGACGTCGTTGCTAAGCCCCCCCTAGTCCGGAGAATAATGCGGCGGCCGACCAATCCAAATGCACATGCGCCGTCACCAAAGGCCCGCCCACAGATCGGCAATCTACGTCCTATCCCGCGCATCTTGCCAAGAGACTGCCCAGACATCGCCCAGACAGCATCGCCATCCACATGCGGATCACCAACCAGCCATGTCGACGACGCTGTCACTATCGTCTTGTTTCAAGCACTATTCCTGGCCTACCTCCCTTCTCGACTCAGCATCGGTGCATCATTGGTGACAAGATGAGTTTGACCTTGGCCTTGGATCCACATATTGGTGTAAGACCGAGTGGAGCGAACGGCCTCTAGTTGACTGCAGAACTGCAGTAGTCTCCTGGCAGTGACGAGCCATTCTGCCATCTCAATCTGAGCTAATCTCACTTTTCTGCTTGACAAGCCATAGGAGCTTTGGTATAGACCTCCACCGCACAGAATACACCCCTCACCTCATAGTCTGCACTCTGAACGAACACACCGGGGTGCCCCTCGGCAGACTTAGGACCACGACGACCCCTGCCCGCCATCAGAGCCTGACTGAAAGCGCCTCCCTGTTCGCACACGCAAGCCTGGACAAGTCCGCACCGACTCATCATAACCCTGCAGATCGGTGACTTTACAAAACGAGCCTCTTTACCTATAAAGAAGCAGAGCCTCTTGCATCACCATCTGTCAAGTGCCAATATCATCAACGCTCTGTCATCCGGAGCACCAGACGATTTTCAAAAGAAGACGTGAACGCATCTTCTACAACAACACAACAACTAAACCAACACATAACAGTCACGATGGCAGCCAACGAAGAAGACTTTACGCCTTACGACCCTGTGCGGTGTGAGCACTACGCCAGATTCGCATCTCACTTGGATAGATGGCAATTCGATGTCATGTACTGGCTTTTATTCGTTTTCAATCTGTTCATCCTATTCCTGGCAGCATGGAATTATACACGGTGAGTTCCCCCGCAAAAACCGTTGCGTCTCACGGTCATTTCTTCTCAAACAGTCTCACTGACCAACTGTTCAGGACATTGGACGCTGTGAGCGAACTCCCCGAGACGGACGCAAAACGGAAAAAAGCCATCAAGCGTTGCATCTGGTTCAATCTGGGATGCGTTTGCGTCTCGTTAGCTACGGTCATCATGGAGGTTTTCACCTTGATGGCATTGCAATTCTGTGACGGCGAGGACCTCATGTCGCTGTACTGGTCAACTTTCACCATGATTCAGGTCGGATCTCTCATCGCAGTATGCGGAGTCATTCTGGCCCTTGTCCACCAGCTGAGACAACGCAAGAACCCGTGTGTAGCCTCCCTGTCATACTTGCAAGCCTCATCTTTTTGCTAACGTAACATCACAGTCCATGGGCTCTGGCTCTCGGCACACCCGTCTTGGTTATCGCGGGTTTGTTCCACTACTTCCACACATGCATGGTCCGAAGAGTCAAGAAGGCGTCAGCGAGAAAGAGGAAGATGAGCGACGCCGGAACGCTCCCCATGAGCCAAGTGTACGTGCACCTTTCCACCCCGGGAAATTGGTTGCTACCCAACCTCCCCCCGCCAAGATGAAAACATGGACGCTAACACGAGATACAGAAACACTATTCAAGCCGAGTCTTCTGATGAGGACGACGGTATTCAGGGAGCAGAGATTATCGGGCTCACGATGGACGGCGGCCCAATCATCCACTTCAAGGACGCAGTGCCTTACAACTTGCCGAACAATAGCGAAATCATCGGGCGCTGCTCCAACGACAAGCCCATTGTCATCTGCCGCCGCGATGGCTTCCAGCTGATTTACAACGGCACGGACGAGAGAGCACCTTCTCCTAACCCGGCAACTAAGAGCACGGGTTGAGGGCGAGGGGCGCCGGTTCCGTTGCATCCCGCAGCGGACAGGCTCCACCCTTGCATTGGTGCGGCGAAGTCAAAAACAAAAGTCTAGATCCCGTCAGATCAGCCGCCTACGGCTACACCCCACGTCATAACACCAGGCACAAACGAGCAGCGTCCCTGCAGAAACGGGTCGCTACCACTCCTACACTGCACTCTCCAGCTTACAGATACACATACCTATCTGGACGACTATGACCAGCAACGCCCGTTACCGCCCAGTCACGGCACAGCCCTTCTGAAGCCTTATTCTCCACTGGCCCGCGTCCTACCCATTCTGGCTTTATCCCTTTTCGGCCTCTTATCAGGGTGATCCCTGCCATATATGGAGCGGCACGGCGGCTGGCGTAGAGCTACGACTGTAGAGTCTATTGCTAGCTCCGGCGGGCACATTGGCACACGTCCTCCCTTCCCGCGCTAGAGAGCAAAGCCACTGTCACCTGACTACCGGGCGGGCGCCGACTTCACCGTCTTGGCCGTATTACCAAGACGGACCAGTTCGTGGCAATAGTCAAGCGGAGCACGAAGCCGATCCTGACGCGGCAGTGGAAGGGCGTTTCCATCAACGGACGCCGGTCCAGCGGGGGGCGACGGAGTCCGCTTTGTTGAGGGCACCAATTCTTTTCTCTTTTACCAGCAGGCGTTCCATGGATTCCAATATTTTCCACATTCTTGTGGCGGCGGCACTCGACCTCCCCTGCATACGTCTTTTTCCTCTTTTTCTTTCTTCATTGATTCCCAATCTACGTGTTTTCATGCCTCTTGTATCCACATCACCGGCTTGGCGTTTTGGGTGATGCAGTTTATGGGGGGTGGTTGACTCGACACTAGGTACGGACGGTGTGTGCGGCGCGCACCACCATCCGTGCCTCGTGTGCCTGCGTCCATCATCCCTGGCAAGTTTTTGGCTGCATAGGCAGCTGGGCTCGGAGTTTGGAAAAGGTTTATCAATCTGTGGTTTTTCGTACAATTGCATCAGGCCGCAACAAGCCAAGACTTTTTTTTTTTTTTTTTTTGATTTCACAGTCATCGAAAATTCCCCACCCCCTGGCTTTTCTTTCGTTCTGACTGATTATCTGATATGTCAGTCGTGCCAGGGGTGTTATCACTAGCGTCGGTATTAGTTTGCGGGTAGAGCTGCATCGGGACTCCGGGAACTGCCTTGGTGTGTGTGTGTGTGTGTGTGTGTGTTGTTCTCTCACATGCACACACATACTTGCGGTTTATCGGAGGGGGGTACCCACGTCCCCTTATTATCTTGGCTTTTCTTGGTTTGCCCTCACAGAAAAAAAGCTGTTGAGAAAACCTTCCGCAAGGGGGGGAAGGACAGGAAGCTGGCTAGCTTGGCTAGGGTACTAGGTAGATTGAGAAAATCAGATAAGCCAACTGAGAGCATTACACACAATTTACACACGGGCAACTACAAGCGTGACGACCTACACAAGCGCGGCAAGGCAAAAACCACTGTCACCAGCCACTACACACCGTCCACCGGCACTTGAGGAACCCGTCATGATGATCGCCAACTTTATCTTCCAGACTAAGTAAAGTGATGTCTCTGGTGAATTAGTTAGGTATTTTGCTGAACCACCCCCATGCGCGACCCGAGTCGTTAGCAGCGTTTCCGACTGCTTGGCACAGAGCAATCGCGGCATTCTAGAGAAGTACAACGAAGGCGGCAGTGCAAGTTAGACACAAACATGGACTTTTTTTTTGACTTTTTTTTTTTTTTTTTTTTTTGAAAAAGAGTAGAAGAAACTCTGACCGCCAACGAGACGCAATGGACAGCGGTTCGAATGCCAAGACGTAGTTCGACGTTCTGTTAGCCAGGCCGTGAACACTTTATCCACGGATCATCACTTCCGTCATCATCTCAACAAATGGTACAGATACGTTAGTTGACGCCGCTGGCGACAATGTCGCAAAAGCGCAGAAGGTGCACGGATTCTTATCCGTAGGTAGGTAGGCATGTGTATTCTTAGAAACCATTCAACCTGAAGCGCAGTTCTACCATGGTTATCTCAAGCAGAGAAAAAAAGAAAAAAAAAAGGCCCAAGGTGGCACACACGGTGAGAACGTTTCGGATTTCCAAGTGTTGGACGAACGAATCCGTGGACGAGAGACAAACAGTGCTCGTGCTCAGGGGTGGCAGGGCTTGCTGGAACTTGGAGGCTGCTTTCTTGCGAGGCTGGCCAAATCTCTATCCGATCTTTGGAAAGAAGAACCCATTGCACACGGATTTTCACCGAGTCAACTGAGGAGGCCGCGTATCACGTTTTGTCTGCCAAGACCTTGGTCACATGCCGTGGCACATACCAGATCACGGCTCGAGTCGATCCCCCAAGGGCCTTGTCCTCCTCCGGACCTCTCAGAGCATGACCTTTGAGCACGCCGCACGGTGATGGGCTAAGAAGATAACATACATTCCGGTTGAGTCAGAGGCGTCATCAAAAAACGAAAGAGCCGTAGAGCCGTAGAGCCGTAGAGCTTGGGAGAAGTGGGGGTCCAGAGCCAAGGAGCATGTCTTGAACTTTTTCTTCATGTTTTACGGTTTTTTAATTTCTTGGATTACAGCAGCTACCGCATCCTTGGGTGGCACATGAGTGTCTCACATACCCATCTAGAGGTATCTTGTGTCCTTCTCTTGTATCTTCTCTTTTTTCCCCCTGTGCGTCTAGAGGTTGCCCGTGTCTCACACACGTGTTTCCTCATTCGCTTCTCTCTCGCGTCATCTTATCATCTCTTTTGGCTGACGTTTCTCCTGGGATCGTAAACCATCTAACTCCGATGGGCCGCATGAATGCTCTCCCGGGAAACGTGAGTGCGCGAGAGTGTAAGTCCGTACATGTGGTGGTGTCTTGGGACTATTGCAAGCGCCCCGCCTTGCCGATTTGTAATATCTCACCAGTGAGACGGTCGTCACTGCGCAGGACAGGCCACGACTCACCGCCGGCCTTGGCAAGGTTCACCTCAAGTTTTGTGCCAAGCACCTTGAAGGTGGACTTTTCCGTATCGATTGGCGCAAACAGAGGTACCTCGGTGGTGTAGCGCTTGGGCGGCGAGTCTGAGGTGGGCAGGTCGAGAGCGATGGACTGCGACTTGAATTCGATCTTGGCCGAATCCTTGACGATCTTCTTTAGGAAGAAGGAGGCGATGACGGTAGAAGGGGTCTGGTAGAAGTCGGTGCGAACTGTATCAAGCTTCTCCTCGCCGCCAGCTGCCGCGGCGTTCTTCTTCTTGCCACTCCCGATAAACAGGTGACGACTCTTTGTCTTGCAACCCTCAATCTTCATGAACTGGTCAAACTCAAGGACGCGGCGCTTGCAGCAGCTGTAGCCTTTGGAGCCCTCGTGGAAGATGGGGACGCCGGGATGGTGGACGCAAGACTCGCCATCGCGCGAGGAGGCCTTGCGGTAGGTAGCCGAACAGGCCTTGCGACGGCAGGTGGTCCCGTCGGGGATCTCGAGGGAAGCGTCGTCGGACTCGGACTCCGGGGGTGGAGGCGGAGGGGATGGAGCGGCTGTGGCTTGAGAGAGGGGCTTGCGTGCCGGTTCCGCTGCCGATGCGAGCTTATCGAGGAAAGAGGGCGCGTCCGCGGGGTCCGCTTGGGGCTTCTGCTCGATCTTTGGGGGGAGGTCGGTTGTGGAGTGCTTGCCGGTTGTGCAGGGGGGGATGGTCATGAACTCCTCAAAGGTGAGGACACGGGGCTTGCAGCACTTCCAGCCTGTTTGGTAGCGGTGAACGAGGTTAGCCGCGGTGTCTCGTGTGAAGTGTTTCCAATGCGATTGATTGCGGTTGAACGGGGCTCATAACAAGGAATATGAGAGGTGCAATTGGACGAAAGAGGGGGAATCCCATGACATCCGCACGGGACAGGAACGGGAAGGACGCGTTCTCCATCGAATATGGCGTAGTACTTGTGTAGAGTTTGTGCGGTGATGGGGGGGTTAGGAGTGAGTACCTTTCTGGCCTTCATGGAAGACGGGAGGACCAGGGTGGTAGACACATGGCTCCTCTGCATCGGAGTAGAGCTTGCCGCAGCCCTGGTGGACGCACTTTTCTGCCATGATGGGCTGGCGGGATGAGCTTGTGCTGCTTGGCTTTCGCTACCGTTTTCGCGTGCTGAGGTGAGATACGATCGAAGTTTGCCGGACACACAATGATTCCCCAAGGAATTGGAGTGGAAGGAAAGGAAAGAAAAATTGTTAAGGATGAGCAAGATTCAGGGTTGACGACGGGTGACGTTTGAGAATTGGTGTGGATGAAAGAGGCGGCGGGTCTGGCAGGATGTAAATTGTCGAAAAGAGCCCCCGTAAGTGGAAGTGATGAGTGAGGGGTGGTTGTCGTCGATGGAGGGGTTGCTATGTTCTCCAGGATTCCAGAATTTCCCAGGGGGTCGTCACTGTGATTTAGCGGCTCAAAATTATGCATGTTGGGCACAAGCTCCGGCAAATCTCCCTGCTGATTCGCTAGAGATGGGCAACAAGGGGTGGGGTGCGGCTGTTTTGAGGTCTTCACCGCCTTCCAAAAGAATAGGTCCGTATGAGACCTTATTCGGCAACAATCGACCGAAGATGTGGCAGGTCACACCCGGCCTTGTCCTTGCAGGTTCAGAGTTGCAACTCGGCCGGGGTGGAAGTTCAGTCGGAAACTTCAACCTTACGACCCAAAAAAGACCAGGCATCTTCAGCCCACACTTTTACCTTTTCTTGCCCATTTCATCATCACAAGACAGACTGGGACGAGCAGCAACTTTGCTTTTCTCGTGGCGGATCCAATCATTCAATCAATCGGACTATTTCGAAACGATCACAAACGGGCGTTTCTCTCCACACCTTCGCAACTTGCAGACATTGGCAGGTCACATCATCTCACTTTGAATCTCACAGACATATATCAAATACGCCCACAGACATTGTACGCCCCTCCAGCTCAAACCCAACTCCAACCTACCCGGATCCCTGGTGCCAGTCATCATATTTGATATTCCCATCCTTTCTCTCTCTCCCCCATCTTATCTTCCCAGCTGACCGAGAACGAAGCTGTTTCACAGCTTTCGAGCCTCCTTCCTTTCTCAATTCGGGTGTAAACTGCGTCCACACACTTTGGTGGGATAAATGTCAGATTACAAGTTAATCGCAAGACATCCACAGTAGACTTGCCATTTGATCTGCAGCACTCATAAACATGTTTGCACCAACACGACGTTTATTTCAAAAGGTTCAACCATGTCGGATCACCCTCTTCTCTCGCGATGAGTGCGGCTTGTGTGTGCGGGCCAAATCGGCACTCTCCAACGTGTGGGATCGCCGGCCCTTTGCTTACACGGAGGTGGTCATCACGAAGCCAGAAAACAAGAAATGGAGAGACCTTTACGATTTCGACGTGCCCGTGGTAAGTTCATCCTTCTTCCCTTGCCGCGTGGGATAGAGGAGGCCATCCGATGATGCACATCCACCTTCGCAAAAGTTTCCCGCAAAAGTGAGCCTTTCAACCTTTCTCATCTGTTGACGTGTGCCCCTTTACCCCAGATCCACATTAGCAAAGCCGAGGCCCCTGAAGAAGATGTCAAACTCGTGGGCAAAGCTGTCAAGCTCATGCATCGATTCGACCCAGATCAGATCGAAGCCAAGATGGATCAAGTGGAGGGAGGAAAGTGAAATTGTCAAGATTATCTTTTTTGACTCATCCAGAACGGCCGCAGCGCTGCTTGGCTCGGAGGAGGTAGCCAGCGGGCGAGCCAAGAGTTCGGTGAACCAAGCAGCACAGCACAGCCTACTCCCCTACCCTATTCGATACCCTTTTACTCTCGAGAATCTCTAGGCATCTCCTACGGCGTCATTCAGTACGATCCACCCTTGGCCGGCTTCGCCCCTCCCCTGGCTATACTCAATGACTCCGATACTGTGTATTGCAATGCTGTGTAATCCGTCGCCACACTAATCATGTCGAATCCCTTATCCGCGAAAAACTTGGATTGCTCGCCACTCGTGCAGAAGATGCCGGCCTTCTTACCCGCCTTGTGAGTCGCCTCGAGGATGCGCTCAATAGCGTCGCTCAACTCCTTTTCGATGACGCCGTTAATTACAGGGTGGCCAATGTTGTTCCCTATGATGCTGGTCAGTTGAGGTTGTTCAAAGTCTAACGAGGAGAGGCCAAGGAAGTGGCTTAGATGAGTGGACTGTACTAACCAAGATCAAAGGGTCCAATGAAGAGCGCGTCGATACCATCCACCGCCGCGATTTCGTCAATGGACTCGAGAGCCTCCTTGGTCTCAATCTGCACAATCGTCAACAGACTGTCGTTGGCCTGCTGCAGATACTCCGTCATGCTGGGCGCCGGGCTGAAGCGCTCCATAGCGAGAGGCGACCCGAACCCACGTCGTCCCCATGGCGGGAACTTGGCCGACTGCACCAGGTCCTTTGCTTCCTGGGCGGTCCGGAGCAGCGGCACGAGAATCTGTTCAAACGTCAGCCAAGCTCTCTCTCTCTCTCCAAGATACCGCCATATAAATGAAACGTTCTTCCCGATTCGCATGGACTACTTGCTTACCCCGTGAGCGCCGCAGTCCAAAGCCCCTACAGAAGAGTCAGTTCTGGTTTGCCTCCAAATGTGTGAACCGATCAATGAAAAGGGGTGTGTCCTTACGCTTCACCATCCAACTCTGCATATCGGGCAACCTCACAATGGGAGATACACCAGCCGCCGCAATAGCAGGGACGGCATCGTGCATGGCGCCATCTGGAAGAGAACAGACAAAGTCAGCTCTCATCGTAACCATCGGGTCCAGAATCAAGCGGTTCTGATAGATCCAATACTCACCATCAATATTCCCATGCTCACAATCAACCAAAACCCAGTCCACGCCAGGACTCCGAGCAAGCACCCGCGAGACATTGGCGCTGGGAATCATCTGCCACAACCCGAAGCTGGGGCCGGCGCCCTTGGTAAAAGCCGTCCGGAGCTTGTTGGCCACTTGCATCGCCGACATTGCTTTGTATGGAAAAAAGTGTATTGTACTTAGTTGAAGTAGAGATTCAATTATTTGTTCAAGGTAAAGAGGGCGGTCACAACAGGTTCTTGTGCGACGTCAGACGACACTCTTTTTCCTTTCTTCAATGTCGTTATTGTTTTTGCGTCACGATGTGAACCAAGCACCGGAATCGGATCATGATGTGTGAACCAACCAACCCCCCAATGTGTCACCCGCGCCTTATGTCAGATACGCGTAGGTCTGGTCACTCTGGTGCGGGGATGGTTTACTGGTCCTCGGGGGGAAAGCCGGCCGCGGGCCCCATCTACGCATGCACGCGGATTTTAGATAGAGGCGGGCCGGGAGGGTAAAGCGGGTTTGTTACTGTGCCTGGCAAAAAAAAAAAAAAAAAAAAAAAAAAGGAGCAAGACCCACGAGACGGAGAGATTCAGGCGGCGGGGTAATTTGTTAATTGTGATTGGGGGCATTTGTCTATCAGAGCTAGGAAGGAAACGTGGGGGAAATGGGCGTCCGGGTGGGGCTAGCCAAATTCCCGCGACCTCAAGTGCTTGCTATCGTCAGGTACCTTACCTCATGTCACGTAAGGTAAGGGGCCTAGATGGGACCTAGGTAAGAGTGCAGTTAGTCCAAACTTGAGACCTCCAAAGCTTCAGAAAGGACATAAATCTTGTCACAAATGTAGACTTTCGAAATTCCAACTGGTGGCCATGATTAAATGACCGCGCCAGAACCCGCCCTAGGCGACATTGTGTATGCTCGTAGCTTTACTATTTTTCATTTCGTTGAGTGTAGGAAAGCAACAGCTTATTGTACAACTTTCAAGACGGAACCCAGATCTGATGCTGCGGATCGCAAAAAACGCGCCAGCGATGTGCGATGTAGGCATGTGTATGCCCTCTTATTCCCTCTCCAAACTTTTCTCTATCTTTTGCTTCCCGGATGCAGATTGGTCAGCGTAGCGATGTCTCGTTTGTGGCCCAAAGACGACTCTCTCGATATTTCGTCCGGGCCTTGTCCAAAAGGATTGCTCTGCGCGGTAGCAACACTTGTTGCCATGATCGGCCAAGGATACACTCGCATAGAGTGTCGAATACCCACCTCTCGCCGACCGATGTCTGTATAGGTCGCGCTGGGCGTGGCTGTTCGTGGTGGCCCGTCTCCTTACTCTTTCCCATCGGGGATGACATTTAGTCCTGGAGGCAGCTTTTGCACGGGTTTGTAAGTGATACCCAATCATAGTTCTGCAGATGTTGACATACCCTAGATAGTCCTCCTTGATGCTGCCAATCGCCCACATCTCACCGACTTCTGTGCGCGTACCAATCACCTTTACGCGCACGTGAGTTCCCGGCTCAATGATGGTATCTTCATTGTTGGTGAACTGCGGCGGCGTCGCATTGGGATCCCACTTGATCTCGGACGGGATCAGCTGGTAAAGAAACGGCAGCGGTTAGTTATCGACGAAAAAGGTACTGCCTGGCCAGCGCGGAAGCGAGAACCTACATGTGCCGACACGAATAACCGCAGAGGTCCCGCCTGGGCGAAAAATCCCTGGTGGTTGACTGAGTAGACCACAGCATCAACCTGGGTTCATGTCAGAAGCCGCTTCCCCGACAAAGCCAGGCAGATTTGTAGCAATTACCGTCTCGCCCTTGAAGGGTCGCCAAACCACGGCTCGGTATCCCACCGTGAACTCGGCCAGGCCACTGCCCGGAAGAATGCGACCCTCGGAAATATCGAAGGTATCCATGATGGAAATGATGTAGTAGCTTCCTGCGCAGGTGCCTTCCACGTCCTTCAGCAACTTGCTCGTCACCAGCTCGTGCATGTTCCGGCCAAAGTAGGAGGGATGCAGGGTGACCCTGCGCTCCATGTTGTAGAGGAAGAACATCGTGGCGGTTTCTGCGGCGTAACGTGCTCAGGGGAGAGAAGCGGATCGTCGTCGTGTCGTCGTCAGCGATGCTGCCCGTGTCCAACCTCCAACAACGCGTAGGCGCGTTATCAACACAAGCTCCCCGTATTAAATGCGACTAATTCTAGTGCTCGTATCGACGTGGTCTCAGTCGGTCCGGGATCCAGTGACACGATTGGAAGCGTGGGGGGAAGCAATCGATGCACGGCTTCCAATTGTTGACCGGTGAGTAGGGTCAGAAGTCGCGAGCAAGGTGAAGCTAGAGAGTTCCACGCGCGAAACGCCTCGGAGAAAGAAAATACACAAGGACGGAATGAAGGAGAAGCGCGAGGAATCGGAACTTTGACCGGTGGTTCCTCTGTGATGCGCTATAGGAGATGCGCCGCCAGCGTAGAGACTCGACGGGTGGTGAACGGAGAGGTTGTACTGAGATAAACCCGACGAGGCTGAGATGGCCTTGTTGCGGCGAGAAGTGGCTCCTGAATTTTTTGGCCTGCGGGCAGCCACATTTACATATGCCCCAGGCAGGAAAAGTGGATTTGGCAGAAGTGCAAGCCACACCTTTCACCGACCACACCTTGCACACCTCGTCCTGTCGCGGTTGCGCTAAAGAATTACGCTAGCGCGGAAGGCCCCATGGCGGAAAGCTCGTAGCTCCGAAGCCGGGGTAAGCGCGATGTTCCGGGAACCTATCGACGGGAAGTTGCGACTTGAATAATTGACAGAATGAGCGGCAAGCCCAATTCGGGGATTGCGATGCTGCAGAGTGCACTGTCAGATGCCAGCAGGATGCGACAAGTGGCGCCATTCGGGCCGCGGATATGGCAGCCCTAATGAGTTTGGAGATGGCGTCGCAATTTGGGCTTGCGGCACGGATCCAACCTAGGGTCATTTGAGCCATGCAACGGAGGCTGTAGAAGTGGCCAGCCTAACCTTTTGACACTTGGATGCCCTTCAAGCTTAATCAAAAGAGTCGGTTAAAAGCCTCCCCAGCCTCCGACGCGCTCGCACGACAAATGCACGACGTTAGATTGGGTGGAGGAAGTCTGTCGTATGTTTGGTGCATGCACATTTAGTAGTTTTTAGTGGACTCGTTCCCCCAAAATCTCCAGTCAGAAGCCACCGTTGCACGCCCTTGGTGGCCCTTGTCGCTTCCAGGGCTGCTGGAAATTCAGCGTACTCCCTACGAACTCCCCGAACCGGAGAGTAAAAACGCGCTCTCAGCGGGCCCCACGGGTACTTGCACCGCAAAAGTTCGGCGGAAGGCAAGGTAACTCGACGTGCTTGGGTGGGACACATGTGAACACCATTGCAACCCTGTCCGGAACACGACGGCATTCCCTAATTTTCCATCATTCGCAACGTCGCCAACATCACCAGCTCTCTCCCCAGTCGCCCACAGTGCACCCACGAGCTGTCTAATTTCTGAGATCGACACGGCCGGTCCAAAGTGCACGGCAATCAACCCTCCTGTCCGCTCACGTTCCAACTCTTGCCGATCCGCCCGCGGCTGAGCCTCGACCCTGCAGCCAGCCTCGTCTTGGTGCATCTATTCTGTAACAAACCTCGGCTTTCAGTTCACCACGTCGCCCTTGGCTTAGGTCTCAACACCATCCGTCACTTCTTTCACCGTCATCATGTCTTTAGACCTGGAAAAGCATTTGACCTTTGTTCGTGAACAGCCCGGCTTTCCGCAGTACGCCGTCAGTCAGGTTGCTAATGAGCTCACAGTATGGTGCCTACCACCATAATACCGTCAACATCGGCATTCACATGGCATGTGTGCCCATCATCTTGTTTTCCGGATTTTGCCTTGTAAGCAGTCAATGAGACGTAACTCGAGTCTTTGCATCTGAGCTCATGCAGACTTCCCCAGGCCACCAACACAGGAACTCTCATTCCACTCCCTGGCTGGCTCACCGTCCCTAATCTAGATCTCAACTTGGGGACACTGGCAGCCCTGACTTGGGGTGGTCTTTATGTTCTTCTCGAACCTGTGGCCGGCACACTGCTGGCCGTCATTTGCTTGGCCGCCACTGCCGCTGGCAACCACTTCAGGGTTGAGAACCCTACCTTGACGAACCAGGCGGCCGTCGGCATCCACATTGCCTGCTGGATCTTCCAGTTCATCGGACACGGCGCCTTCGAGGGACGCGCGCCGGCTCTGTTGGATAATCTGGTTCAGGCTGTCTTCCTGGCCCCCCTCTTTGTTTGGCTTGAATTCCTTTTCAAGCTTGGGTACCGCCAGGAGCTCAAGGGCCGCGTTGACAAGGCCGTCGAGAAGGAGATTGCCAAGTTCAGAGCCTCCAAGGCAAACGGTGACGCCAAGAACGGAAAGGCTCAATAAACTCTTCGCGGACCAGCCGACGACACAACACTTTACTCGGTCTTGCGATGGAAAATCCTACCAAACCCGCACACCTATCGGAAACCAGATGACACGCGCTAGCCCAGCGCTTACTACTCCGCCTACCTACCTACCACTGAGAGAGATGAGAGAAATCAGGGGGGTCGCGAAGCCATCACAGGGAGGCTACGGACGAACAGAAGAGATATTGAAGGATTAAGGCCCCACGGCATGGAAGCATTCGGGCAGGCGCCATCACTTCACAGGCGGAGTATTTTCATCAGATACCAATTTGAGCTTACGCGTATACAGATTGTCGGTTGTTGGATCTGTCACCGGCCGAGTTACAATACTTGATGGCCAGAAAGGAGTTGCCTATTCGGACCCCCTTTTGCGCGTTGCTTGCTTTCGGTTATCGTGTTCTTCTTATTTTTTGGGAAAGGGGAAGAAGCCTCTATTTGTCCATGTCAATTAACAAGGAAACCGCTCAAAACACATACATAGTTCAACAAACATGAAGCATTCACTCACCACATATCTCTCATCCTTCCTCGTCTATCTCGTGTCTTTGCGCCATGCACTTAGTAATGGTATTCCCCTTTCTCCACCTTACGGGCGTCACAACACGCAAAGGACTGAACGTCAGAACGAGCGTCAGAAACAACCTCGCGGCGGGTGCCTCTCCCCTAATGGGTCACATCGTCTCGGCGATCCTTGTTACCAAACGGCTTCCAAACACTCCTGAGCTTGCCACTCTTTTTTGGCGCCTTCTCCGGCTCCGGCGAGGGCGGAGGCGTGGGACGTCGTTGAATGATCGGCTCCTCGGGCCACGGCGCGGCTCGCACCTCTCGATAGCTGCTGGCCAGTTGCTTCATGTCCCGTCTCTGTCTCTCGGCGACGGGCTGTCTCATCGTCGATGGCTCATCGGCTTCCCCCATGGAGAATATGGCCTCATTGGTGGCTTGTACGGCTGAGGCCGTGCCCCTACCGTAGTAATTCTCCTTTGTTGGTCGTTCAAATGCGCCCTCTTCTGAAGTTTGGCTCGTTTGTTCGTAAGAGTTCCATCTTGGTTGTTCTTCTACCCGTCTTCTCTTTTTTTCTTGTGAGTCTCGTCTCCATTGTTCTTGTGAGTGTCGGCGCTTGTGTTCACGTGAGCGTTGAGACAATTTGCTGATTGGGCTTCCGGTGCTGGTGACGGTGGGCATACGCCTATCTGGTACGACGAGAGCTTCCTTCTTCTTGCGCTTGTGCTTGGTAGTAGACTTACTCTCGGGCGCTGGTGGAGGAGGCGGAGGCGAAGGCGGAGACGGAGGCGAAGGTGAAGGCGGCGGTTTTGACGGGGGGAACATGTTCTTGGAACGGAGCCGCGGATCCTGGTATCCGGGGTCTCCGCGAGTATCACCAACTGAAGCAGCAGGAAAGGTAGGAAGAGCGGGCAGAGGCTTATCAGCGTAGTCTTCGTTCCTACCAGCGGCATCTCCAACACCGCCGCCTCCCTGAAGTCGAGCAGCCTCTTCCATTTCCCGCTTCCTAATCCCCTCCTGATAGTTCTCCTGTATCGACCAGTAATTCGTCCGCTGCTTTTCGTCCCTCTTCTCCTGTTCCTCCTTACGTCGCCACGAGGCCGCTATCGCCGCGGGTGTCAGCTTCTCGCGGTACTTGTTTGTCGTCGTCGTACTATTGACCATGCCCTTGGTGGCGATCCCGGTCTCCTCGGCTGTGCGGCACTCTGGGCAGGTCACGTTGGGCCAGACGGTGTCGTTGATGCGGAGGTCGCTACAGGGCTCGTCGGGGGAGTCGCCGACGAAGAAGAGGAGGATCGGGCGGAAGCACCAGCCCGCTCGCTGGCGCCATGTTTTGCGGCAGGTTACGCGTTTTCGTTCCTCATGCTGGCAAGTGTAGATTGTTTTGGTGAAGCACATTGCCGCTGCTTCTTTTTGGAGGTTTGCCTCTGATGGCGAAGGCGATGCTAGAGAGTTGGTCCACCCAACTACTGTAGTGTTGTATGTTATGTCAGTTTTTGTGATATAAGTGAATAGTTGCTTTAGTTCTAACTTGTACGGCCCCTGAGTTCTGTCTCGTTCGGGACACTTCTATATAGCTCTGTTACAATCTTGGCCTCACTCGCAATCAAAGAACAACGACAACGGGCCACAATGAGAGTTGTTGAACCTCTTTATTCAGGATAGTACGCAAAGCCGTTGTTTTGCATATCTCCCTTGTTTCTTTGGCCTCAAACAGGATATTCGAAATCTTTCAATCCGGCATACATAAGAGAGATTGAGAATCTTTGTCTCTTAACGATCTGACGAGTTGTTGTGCGAAGTGCAAACAATGGCAGACATTTTTACCAACGCACCGTGACTTTTATTGATAACTTAACAAAGCGAGCCGGTTGCATGTTTACGTTCTTTCTGACTAATACATAATTCAACTTAACTCGACTCTGACAATTGGATACTTGGCTCTTTTGAAATCTTGCTCTCCGTCTCAGAGCTGAGGAAAATCTCAAGCTTACCCCATTTTGCCAAAACCTCTGTAGCTGACGTTCGAAAAGAATATAAGTTTGACCACGTGATAAATTTTGTTATGTACCACGGTACCTCAAAGGTTATTTAATGAGACTTTTTAACCAAATGATCACTTGAATTACAGCAACTACTTCTTTGTCTTGGCTATAGCTACTGGAAGAAGCCCTCTTTCATATGTCATTGGACTCATTCTTGTTAAGGATGCGGCCGATAGTTACGAGATACAAAGCTGTAGCGGCAGTGTGCTTCTCCCGGTCGCCCCCTGTCAAAATTCCTTCTACAACTTCGAACGGCTAGGGCAAGAATACAATTACTGTCTTGAGTTCAAGTTAGAAAGGTCAGAATATCCAGTTGATTCTCGGAAATTCTATTGATGTTGGTCGAAGTCTTTGCCACCCCTTTACTTACCTCCTCACACAACGGTGGTCAACCTCGATCACAGCTTCCCAGGTAGATTGAGCTGTATTTCTAGTTCAAAAGATCCCGATGCTTCACATCAATTCAGTCGAGTCTTATTGCAAGATGCAACACACCGACCCAGGAGAGAGACGCAGGATATCTCTTCATTTTATTTGCGAGCATTTCTAGCTAAGGGACCACCCCAAGTCTTCTGTAGAAGTTGGCAGACCACCAACAATAAGCAACTAGGAAGCAGCGTAGATGGAGCAGCACCATTCGGAACCCGTGCGTGACGGTATCTTCAGCCACTATCACAACCCTGCCCGTGATCAACCTGGGCAGCCAACGACAGAAGATCATTCGCTACTCGACACACATGATTATCGTATTCTAGACCCGGTGACGTACGACGGAGTCAGAGGGGAAGTTGAGGTCTTAAGAGCGTCCACATTAGGCCCCCGACGCTTCGCGATCCCTAATGAGTTACCCAAGGGTGCAAAATGGGCTGTTGAGGATCGTCACGAACACCTGATCGTATGGGGTGATGAATGGAAAAGAGTATGGGAGAATCGGGGGAAAGAGCTCGTGAAACGCGGCGATCTCATTCAAGTACCAGTATGGTGGCAGAGAGCAGGGAGATATACAGACGCTTGGATCAACGAGAGGGCGAGGTTCGTCATCTATCACAAGACCGATGGCAGCTTGAGGATATTTCAGCCCTTGCGAGAAGGGATATCCGCGTCGTCGCACATATTCTTTGGCTATACGCCCCGACGATGTCATGTGGCCCTCTGGTTCCTACTCAAGACCCCTTCGAATCTTCGCCGGCTGCCCAGAATCGTACGAGAGAGCGGAACGCCTGAATCATCTCATCACACTGGACACGCCGAGGCGGGTTGTGACGCACGCCGAGATATTGTTCGACATGCCGTCTATGGGAGATTGATGACTGGATGGAGCTTCGACCGCGAGACTTGTTCCCAGAGGAGAAATTCCAACCCTGTAAGACCTTTGGCTGAGGAGATGGAAGCTCTGTTGCATCCTGTAGATAATACCAGGTTCGCAATGTTTCCCTCTCTTGAGAAGGATTCTCAGAAGCCAAATGTCTGCAAAGGAGACGCCAGGGATGAGATGTTCGTGACTGCGGCAAGACATCCTGGGGAGTCACGTAAGGCTGGGCATCCTTCCCCTCCAGATCGAGATGATCTCTTCAGTCGTTCACGAACCAATCGTACGCCTGGCACCTTGAACCCCCGCTCTTGCTCAACAATCACAACAAGGAATGGACTGTCCTCTTCCCGGAATGGCGAGAAAGGGCTCACTGTGCCTCTCTTGGTCCAACGCCATCGTCGGCCAGAAGTTTCGGTAGTTGTGGGACCGCATCCCGGAGCCCGAGGGAAGATTCCTCGAGTCTTTTGCGATCCGGGAGCATCAGATTTACAGGGGGCTGGGCCGCCCTTCGCACGAGAGGAGATGAACCAGCACTGGGTAGCGCACAACGACCACGAGGCATATGGCCGCGCTCATCGCAGACTTCGCATCAGCGACAAGAAACGGACCCACGTGCGGCAGCAACACGAGGAATTCCGGGAGAAACACTCCAAGCTCGGGCAACGACGGACGATGGAAATTGGCGAGGAGGACAAGGAGGAAGAGGAGCGGCTGGGCTATGCGGGACGCGGCCAAGACTGGCGTGATCAGGAGCAGCGGCGCCACGAAGAGGGAGGGATGGCCCGCACCAGACGAAGGATTCCCGGAGATGGCAGTTGGACGAAGCTTGTATCTGCTGCAGTCTCCGCTCGCAATCGCTTTCCCACGAACCCCGTCAAAGGCTCCCCAGGCCAGGTCGGCGGGATGTCTCTGGGCCCTTCCAGCCCGGATGCCGGCAACGAAGATCGGCGGTCCGAAAGGAGGCCCAGCCCGCAGCTGCATGAACAGGAGATAATAACGGTCTGGGAGGCACGGCAGGAGACACTTGCTATCTTGGAAGGAAGAAGCTGATATTTCGCTCGCTGCATTCAATGTCTAAACCAGGTGCTTCACGAGTCGGCCGCCGCCATACTGTCATCTGCCTAGAGCAGCCTTTGCTTAATTTGGATAATAGTCGCTGCGAAGGAGAGGGAAAGACATTATTTGTCGGTTATTGCGGCAGGGATAGATGGATATGGATATGCAGTAACCGCTTGGTGACCTCTGATTTGACAGCCGTGTGACAGCATCCGAGGTGACGTTACAGCTGTCAAGCCAGACATGTTCCCTGACGGTAAGTTGAGTTGAGGTTGTTACCTCCACCTACGTATGAGCAAGATGTCTCTTCCTTTCGAATGTCCTCAGATTGTGGAAAATTCCCTTTGTTGGTGACGTGTTGACATGACGTGCGAGTTCAGCCTTCATTCCTCTCAAATATCCCTTCTTCGCCGCAAAATGATGTTGAATGCTGACTTTGGAGTAAAAGACAATTGAAAAGAACAGCCATCCGTCTCAAAAACTTCGCAGGATTCGGACGTGGCTTGCAACAGACCGATACGGAAGGTTGATTCAGCCTCCCAGATGCCCGCCCGTACCTCATGTCCCTCAATTTAAATCATCTGGGCTGGATATGGCTTGGTGCCAACAAAGGCGGAGCCCTCCTCCAAAGAGCGAATTCGACATATGCTCGAGAAATACCTCAGGCAAGTCAAGTCAACCGACTCAGCCCCACGACACCCTATTGCGGCCCAAGTCGGTTCTCAATGTCTCTCATTAAGATGGCGAGCTATGGCGTGAGAGGCGGGAGGAGGAGGAGGAGGAGTTCACAACAGCGATGCAGTTGACTCGGGCAGAGTGAGAAATGCGTCGTGTCGGCCCGCGACCGCCTCTTGCCAAGGATGAATTCTTGAGCATGTCGGATGGCGGAAGCCTGGAGCGTGATTCGATAGAAGTGTTGGTGAGACCAAATCTTGCCCTAGATAGGTTGTCAGTTCTCAAGTTTACTTCAGCTCGAGGCGCTTACCTACCTATGTCTAGGCGGCTAAAACGGGGTTGGGCGGGAATGCAAGCTCCCGTTAGGGAGAGCGGGAAAGGAGGCAAGTTGAGGCTAAGAGGCTTTCGGAGGCTGAGACAAAATAGACTTATTGTTTTTCTTACCTCACAGCCTCCTACGTAACAAATTCTCCGACAATCATTACGATTGCATCCGCCTCTGTGTCCTGCGGACGAAAGCAGAAGTTGCAGTAAAGACCAGGCGGAGAGACAATTGCAGAAAGAGGCTCAAAAGCCTTCGTCTCGTTAAAGAGGATATCCTGACAAGCGGGCTCCATTGATCATCTCCTGTCGATCGTTTCGGGAGGGGGCAACTTCCTCGACGCTGCCGGATATTGAAGAGCCACGCCGTAACATCACATCATCCGAGAGGTAGTGTGGTATGTGACCCTACCGGTGATCGGCGGCGGGAGCAACGGCGGGCGAAGAATGAGCTGACTCTGATCACGACAATTCCCCCCGCAAACGTCACCAGGCCTTCGGCCGAGATATCCTGTATGTGTCTCATCGGAGGGTATGAGTGGATATGGGGATTCGCGCCTTTCCGTGACGGAGATCGGGCCTGGGCGGAAATTGTGAACCCCCGTGGGACTCATTCCCGCAAGCCGTTCGCAGATGAGAGGCACCAATAAGGAAGCAAGGAGGAAAGATGCCACGATCCTCCCACCGGTGGATATGTCTCACATTTGAGTTATCCATCAGAGACATGACAGGACGGATCTAGTAGCGCGCAGGCTGGAGCGACGGTCAGCGATTGGTCGACTCTGGCGGGAGGAAGCTGTCAAAGACGCTTGGCCTCAGACTTCCCGCCCTCCCTGGACCGCCTTGGCTCTAGGAGCCAAGGAGCCTAGCCTTTCGTGCCCGTCCAAGGGTCCCTCTTCGTGGTTGACTCGGCGTCGTGCTCCGAAGCGAAACCTGTGATGGGCCTCTGCGGGAAATGTAGCCAGGAACTTCACGAGACTGTCACGCTCAGCAGGGGATCAACGTGAACAACACCTTGAGGATTCCTTGCGACCTTGGCACTGATGTGGGCCAGTTGGAGGCAGTCGACGAAGACGGAAGGCAGACTGACTCCTCCTCTGCGACGACAACGACGACGACGATGTAGAGACAGCTTGCCATAATCCCTCAGTTCATCAACGGCTAATATTCTTTATAAAAGACCTCGTCGTCCGCCTTCCAAGTCGTAATATCTTCTCTCTCATCATCACACCGCGCCTTCACTACAGGATAGTCAGCCGCTCCAACCCTCTTAACTCTCAAGTCTTCGGATCACTTACTACCAACTCCTCTTCAAACCAATCCCCCTTTTCTTCGGAAACCCTACCATCAAAATGAAGTCCGCTGTCGTCCTCACCACCCTCCTCGCCTTGGCCGTCGCCAACCCCGTTGCCATTGCCAACGTTGACAATACCAACGCCGTCGCCAAGCGCAACGTCGAGATTGAGGCTCGCCAGCTCGGTGCCATCGCCCTCCCGACCCTTCCCGGCTTGGGTGCCTTGACCAACCTTGGCCTCCCCGGCCTCCCTAACCTTCCCATCACCCCGGCCAACGTTGTTTCAATTCTCACCAGCCTCCTGGCGGGTGTGCTCAGCGTTGTTGGTAACATCCGTAAGTGAATCGAGAGCTTGTAGATCGGACCATTGCAATTAACAATCCCGAAAGGCCAGGGTGTTCCCGGGGCCGGCGCCATCCCCGGCCTTCCTGCCATTCCCACCATCCCCGGCGTCTCCCCTCCCGCCATCCCCACCGGTGCTGTCAGCGCTGAGCAGCTCACGGCCTTGATCGGTGCCCTCCAGGCCCAGGTCGCCAATGCCACCTCCATCGGCACCAACCTCCCCGGCGGTCTCAGCCTGGCCCAGCTCCAGCAGATCCAGACCATCATCGCCACCATCCAGGCCCAAATCGCCCCTCTCATCAGTGGCTCTGGTCTTCCTTCCCTTCCCGGTAAGTAATACCTGTGCCAATACCTTCGAACAATAACTGATGCTTCGGACTAGGCCTTCCCACTGGCGGTCTCCCCGACCTTGGTGGCCTGACCTCCGGCCTCGGCGCTCTCAGCGGCGTCCTCAGCCTCGTCACTGGCCTTCTCGGACCCCTCCTCGGTGGCCTTCTCGGTGGCCTCGGTGGCGGTCTCCTCGGCGGCGGCCGTGTTTAAATTCGAGAATCGTCGCAGGCCGGTAACTCATTCGGGCAGGTACTCTGCAGCCACGGAACTGCACACCCATGATGAGTTTCGGCATATTCGACAACGCCCGGTCGGCTTGTCGACCAGGCTTCTCGCAAAGCACGCTTTCACGATCACTCTACCCACAACTTCCAGCATGCGGTTTGCATAACACCAAAAAGTTTCCGAAGACTTTGAGAGGAAAGGACTGGAACGCGAGGGGTTCAGCGGTGATCATTCAGCACCAACCGGGGACCTTGAACTTTGTTGCAGGCATCTGGCGAGTCCTAGCGGCTCCTTTTCGCCTTGCTTAATCTCTTGTCTTTAATCATTTCTTACCAACCTAACTTCTCTTCTGCATGTCCCCCAGGACAACACAATAAAAACTGTCGATCCTTATAACTTATCGTCTCTCATAGAAACTTCCTTCGTGAATGACAATGTGGAACAGCCGCGAAAACAGCTGGTGTTTACAATAGCTGAAAATTCGGAAGATCAAACCCAACAAACAAGATGAAATCGATTTTGACTTCAACACACGGCAAAGAGACGAGACGAGTTGGAAGTGTGCAACGTTACTGTTGAGTTTCGACTTCTTCTATTGGAGACCGAAACTGGCAAGTTGGGCAGTTCGCTGATCACTACAGTTTGGATTGTAAGTGGCAATGACTTGCGAATGAAGGGATGAATAGGCGGAAGTTAAGATGAACGTCTTTGGTCGTTGCATTGAATGCATATACTTCGCTGATCGAATAGCCTATCTTGTTATCAGGCTGTCTATGATAAGTGAATATCGGGGTTTGCAATGGAGCCAATGCGAGTTAGTGGATACCCGATCTCTCCGTCCCCCCTCCCCCACACACCTACATTATCCATCGAAGCCTCCTCTGCGATCGATGAACCGAATTCGCTATCTTTCAGCTTTGACCAACTTCTAGCTTTCTTTCTGCCTTTCACTCTCCAACGATCCGGTCCTGACGTCAGTCACCTACGTTACATAGAAGTCCGCGGGCGTTTGCTTTCAGGGGAGCACGGCGGCAGTGCAGATACGCCGGGCAAGGGTACGGTGTTGCCGCCGTCGCTTCTGCAAGCCCCGTCCCTCTGGCTCTCTTGGTTCCTGCAAGCCTTGAGTCTGCAGGGACCTGACGGCCCAGCCGTTTCCAAGAATCGCAAAAATCGAGCCAAAGATGACCATACGATGCTCACGCGAACCCCACGCCCTCGCGTCTATCTGGTCAATCTCTGCTCTATCTGAAATCTAGAAGAGCGGGACGCGGCGGGTCCTTTGGCATCATCCATTGAGACGCGGTGATCGGGACTTCTCGTTCTTGACTCGAACGACTTTCTCGATTCGTCCTCTGTTGGTTGTTCGATCGAACTGGCTTACTAGCATTACCTAGATGGTTGAGAGTTTTCCGCATCCTAGGTTGTCCGAATGCGGGTTGTAACGTCGTTCGTGAACAAAGCTGCTAGAAGCCTGGACATTCTTAGTCACCACAAGTCCAGCCCAACTCGCGGTGGTATCACAAGAACGGCTGGCTGCGCGTGTTCCCAATGCCTCCGAAACGAGGGCTTCGATGAGAACAGCAGGACCCTTGACGCAGGCTGCATCGGTCTAGGCGAAAGGATCGCTGGCGCTGAGGGCGGCGCGCCGGCAGAGTTGCCGTTCGGCGGGCTTCCCCACACTTTTGTTCTCCTCCTCCCCCGCCGATCGTTGCCTTCCGCAGCGGAGAGAGGGGGTGGGAACGTGAGCTCACGAACGATGATCCGTACATATGTCCCCCAATGTCGTACATCACCGCTGTGGCAGGCAGACCAGCAGACTGGCCACACCAAAAATGTCCAATGGCATGCGATCCCTTTCTGCCCCTTTCTCTTTTCTGGACGCCTGCTTACCTATCCAATGCAATCGTTTCGTCAGAGCTACCCAGGTATGTGCAACAGAACGTAGATCTCGTACCAGCTCAGGCATATCATCACGTGTCGAGCTCATGATTCGCGAGGGTTTGCATAGAACGCTGCAGTCCTACCGTAGCAGTACCGACCGCAGAGAATAAACGAGCTCCCACTCCAATGTTTTCATGGGTTTCACAGCGAAGCCATGGATTGTCATCCGTTCCAAATGGGGTCTCCCTTGCTACTCAAGATACTTTGAGAGGGGGGAAACTCAATGCTTAAAGAGGATAGACCATGCCACTGCTCAGGATCGACGACGTTTGACTGGCTCACATCGTCAGACTAATCCAGCACTTCTCCAGCTAGGCCACACGACCATTGCATTGCATCGCGGCACCATGCTATCAATCGTGCCAGACTCTGAGTGATCAGACCATGTAGGAAGTACCCGCGCGGGGGTAATCGAGAGCGAGGGGCAGTTAGGGGTCTTTGTCTTGCCTGTGTATCTGACCATTACGCACTTCCCGCTGGATAGAAGGCGGGAGACCATAGCAGAAATGACGGAGGGGAGGAGAAGCTTCAGCGTTCGACCCTCTGATATGCCGTCCAACACTAACATCCCCTCAGTTTTCAGACCGATGTACCTCCTCTTGCTACTCCAACTCTGTCAACAGTGACGCTGGACAAGTCCATACCGCCTCGCCAAATGGCTCTACCTACTAGGTAGGTATTGTACTCGACGTAGGTGTCCCGCTTTCTTCGAGCGGGTTCCCCGTAGTAAGTCCCCTTACACTAGCATGGTAGCTCCCCGCGTAGCGTAGTTTTCTAGCGTGTGATGGTGACAGACGAGTAAACACCGTCATCGTTCTGACCGGCCCATCGACAAGCTTTCCCGCATCCCTTGTGTCAGAGGAGTGGGCGGTGGTCTCATTGGTGAAGTCATTCTTGGGATGGAAGTGGAAGGTGTGGGTGGTACAGGATCACCCAGGGCCCTTGTTCGAACTACCTACCTTGCAACTGAAATGCTCTCTGGCAGGTCGGAGCTCTGTGAAGCTGGATTGCTTATATACCTCCTATTGTTCCCCTCATCTTCTCACCATTTCCTTCCTACTACAACAATCAATATTTTGATAGCTACGGTCGCAAGTAAACCACAGTACAACAACAATCATCCGCTAGAGGCCAACCAAAGACCATCAACCTTCATCATGGACTCAAGCAAGAACGTCGACATCCCCGTTTCCCCTACCGGCCGCAGACGCGTAAGAAGACAACACAGTAAACTACACATATTACATTACTAACACACCACCACCCCCAGAGCTCCGGAACCCTCTTCCAAGGTCTCATGGACCAGAAGCGCCACGATGGCAATGCTGCCCGCAGACAATCAATGACGGATTCGAAGCCGGCACCTGGGTTTATTGGGCAAATGTGGCACAAGTAAGTAGCATAATATCTACACGACACACAGTTGAACTTACGATAATGCAGTTGGACTCGTGGCCCCGCCAGCCCCCCGAAATAAATAAGTCAATGAATGATTAGGGAAGCGAAAGAATTGGAGTTGTAAGATTGTATGGTTTCTACGGCGTTTGTGGTTGCAACAGGGCCTTTGTGAATATGTCTATATAATGTCGCATGGCATAGTTAAGCCTGCTAGTTTGGCGTACAGAGAACGTAATGTCAACACTTTCTTGCGGGAATGAATTGTTGTCGACGTGCGGTGTGTTCAGCTGCTTTGCACAGTTTGCGTGTACTTGTAACGCACCAATCCTTGAGAGAAGACTTTTTCCCTCGCGATCAAATGGAACCTGATTCAGCTACGCCCAAAACCAATGCTTAAAGCTTTGATGACGGTAGCTGCTGTAACCCCTCATGTCAATATACGAGAAAAAATGGGAGCCTGTGTATCAACTAGCGTCGTGGTTTTCAACATGCACGGGGCTCTTGTGCTTGAGCAAGGAGTATAGGATTGTGTGAAAGAAATCGATCCTACCTCAGTGGAGCTGTGGGGATGGTGCCATAATCGATAATTCACACTTCACGCTTGACTTGTCTGCCAGTGGTTGAATACGTAAGTCGTGTGGCACAACGATGATGGATAGGTGGAAAGGTGATTGGGGACAAATGTCAGGCTTGAATTGCGACTGCGAGGACTATTATCATACAGAGAATCAAAAGTCATCCCCTCTTCACGGCAATCCCCCACCTGCTGCCCCCCAATGTCGTCAAGGCTGGGAACAATTGTCAGGCTTGTATTTTCTTGGCTTACAAGTGCCAGAATACCCCACCTGCTGCTTCCCATTGTCACTTGAATCCCACCGCAGAGCCCCAAAACTGTTGATCGAGACATGAGCTTTTCTCTGTGGCCCAGATGTGACCACATCAGAGAGACGCGACCAGCCCAAACTCATGAGCCCTTTCGGGCCCCCATTACAAACGTTGCCCCCACGTATCGGCACCCGGCTGGGTGGTGGCGTGTATCGTGGGGTAGATCCTCCTCGGCCTAGTCCGAGATGCTGGCTCCGGAGCAAAGTAGCCTCTGCCGCGAGAAATCATGAGAGTTGATGTGACGATCTCGGCATGTCGCTCTTACTATCGCGCTTATCTCCTTCAGAAAGGACCCCGTCTGTAGGCACTGGATAGGCAGGCTGTTAAAACGTAGCAGCCTGCGTACCCCCGTCTGTCAGAAATCCGACAGCGGTTGTGTTGCTCAATCTTTTCCATCAGTCGCCCACAAGCTGCAACGGCGGGCCGGGCTCTTGAGCTTCGCAGCTGAAGAGCTCCTTCACACAGTACGTGAGCACCAAGTGCTCGGTTACCCAATAATTTACCGCATAATGCGTATTTGAACACAGTATACGCCAGAGGCGGTTTTCGACGAGAGAAGTGACGTTGCTGTCCATCTCGATCGTCCAATTCAACCAAGGCATCAATGATGCACATGGAAGCTGGTCACGAAGCACCGAAGTACAAGGTAGACCAAGGCCAGTTCGGCCGTTTTCGGGGGCCGTAGCCGCCCAACTCTCCAATCCGGAACCTTGTGTTCCGGGGATCTGAGTGTATCCTGGAGGCTGATGGTTGCCAGGTATAAACCTTTTCGCAGAGGGAGACCTACGTAATTCCCAAACTGCAGTTGCAAACCCATCCGTAGCGATCCTCGACGTAGAGGACCGAGGCCTTTTAAAGTCATGCCCAGGACAAATCATGATCAGGGCGCCGTCCTTTTCCGATCCAATGTCCTGGAGCTTAAGTTAGCGGTGCGGTCAAGGCATGGTAGACAAATACGAGGCAAAATAACTTACTATCCATACCGGTTGGCAAAAGAAAAGAACCAAGAATGCCAAAGTCCCAGACAAACATGTCATTATCGTCGCGGGTCGTCAGAATTAGGTGAAGTATGTCGAAGTCTAATTGCTGAAGGAGATGGTGTCGTACGTCTTGGTTGCCCAGCCTTGGGAACGTCGCAAGTCTAGAGATCGTTGCTAAAGTGGGTTAGTCGGGGGGGCCGTTTTGCTAAGGGCTGTACGGAGTATCCAGAACATACCACATGTGACTCCATAACGAGTATCATAAACGTAACCTCAATACATGGACTGCATTTGCCTCTCTATTTCGTTCATTCGTTGCCATGATGCAACCCCAAGGCCTTTTAACGTCCTGCCCAGGACGAAGTGACGAAGAGAAGACCAGCGAAGCCGACCAGATGTCTCAGGCTACACGCCTGCATAACCCCGAGTGCCAAAGTCGAGAAGTGCGTAGTACAGCACAGGGGTATGTCAAGTTGTGACGGTGGAGGGAGGGCAGCTCGTGTGCAAGCCGCTTGCTCCGTCGGCCGACCACCTGTCTTGCCCTTGGGCAAAGCGTAGAGTGGAAAAGCCCGAGGCTGCAACTACGTTTCTTGAGGGCAATGACTCATGATTCCGACAGCACTTAAGATTGCGGCTGGCTACGAAAGGCGATGGCATTGCCGTCCTCGTTGAAGCGTGACATTGTAGTCTTGGCTTTCAAGCGAAAATCTGTCGGGAGGGCAGAGAGGCTTGACCGAGCTGGCAAATGATTGCAATTTGCTGATGGTGAGGGGGACAAAAGCAGTTGGCTCAGTGGCACAACGCTGGGAAATCGCTCAACCAGCCATGATACGATGTTGGTGACCTCCGGAGTTCGACGCGTCGAGAGGTCGAGGTGAGGGAAGTGAAGTTGGGAGAAGGGAGAATAGGGAGAAGAGAGGGTAAGAGGCGGGCTTTTGTAGGGATGTGTGGAGGGGGTGGTAGAAACTCATGGATAGGCCAGGGCACACGTGCTGTACTCATTAGTGGTGGTAAATGAACCTAAGGACACTAGGAGCCAGGCGCGTCCCCCCCAGATGCTGCGGGATGCTAGGAAATGGCAATTATTGATCAAGAAGGTTTGGAAAAGGCTCTCACGGTATGAATACATGTCGAAGGAACAAGACAGCCTGCTTCCTCGGGAAGCAGAGGAGAGCCGCGATAGACTAGAAGCTGCAGCTGCAGGACACGTTCCGTGAACGGACAGGTGCGCGGGCCCTGTTAAGGCAAGGTGCCTTTACATTGCGCGAGGAAGCGTGCACTGTACCTAGGTATCCGTACATAGAGTAGCTTAGATAAGCACCGGGCAGTGATCAATATCTCTAGGTTGGCGGGCCAAATGTCCCGGGCTCGGTCACTGTGACAATTCAATTCCTGATAAGAGGTAGTTGTTTCTTCTGGCAGCAACTGCCTAAGCAAGCTTGCTGCTCAAAAAAAGCGAAGTCTACAGCCAAGGCGGGCGGGTAGTCTTAGTTGATTAGAAAGGAGCAGCCGCTCTCTTCATAGTCTGTCAACGATGGAGGGCTCGTACCGGCAGCGGTTCTTTTTATTAATCAATACCTGCCGGGCCTTCCCGAAGTACTCTGCACTATGCTTCTATGCTGACCATATCACCAACTCTGATCAACGGGCATTGCGTTCTTTCTCTGAGCAATTTCGTGGTGGGCTCATGGCTCATGTGCGTGCCAAAGTACACCTTGCCATCGAACCTTCTAACCTTGGTCAGCGTCACGAACGGCTCCTGGTGCCTTTCGCCGCTCTCTTGATCAACGCAAACCATCTGGCATCTACGGCAGGATCCCAGCATTGTGAAGTCCTCACCACCAATTGTGAGTTTCTTCCATTCATCCTCTACCCACGGGATATGGTCAGAGTCCTGAGTTGGCCCGACCAATATGTTGGCTCGGAATGCCTCGGAAGGAACTGGTTTCCCGCCAGTCGCCTGGATTTCGTGGTTCAGAGCACGTAAACTTGACGTGTTGATCAGGAGTATTGGACTTTCGTTGGAAAGGAGAATCTTTGCTGGTGATTGCTCAGAGTCCGAGTCTGGCGGGGAGGGTAGTTCTGGAGACGCCCCAAGACTCACCCTTGGGGGCCCGACTTGTGATTGCTGATGTTTTTGCACCTTGGCTTTCGAGTGACGCATGCTTGGTCCCTGTCCTCCCGCTGGAAACCGTGCCAGTACGCATGGCACGCCGAGAATATCGCTGAAGAAGTCGTTCACGTAGTCGGAAGCATAGACTTGTGTCGTAATCTTGTCGCCGCATACTCGTGAGGACCTCTCACGAGGGCAGCCATTCGTTTCGAAGTAAGTGGGATCCGCAGATAGGGGAACTGAGATCTCGTTGGGTACGTGAGAAGGTTTCCTCCCTCTGTACGCTACGCGCAACACGCCGTCATCGAAGTCAAGAGTGGGTTTGATGAGGGCCATCTTAGGATACCTCTTCTGGCTCAGTGCTTGTCCTGACCCTTGGTGCACAAGACACCATTCTCTGTCCCAAGCCAGACCTTCTGGCATGATTTCCCAAGCCATACCAAATGGAACGGCAAAACTGCCGCAGCTTTTAATCGGATAGACGCTTATGCTCTGGACTTGGATCCTTATCGACGATGTTGTTATTTCGGCGCGATAGTCTTCGTCTGCCACTTCTTCTCGGTAGAATTCATCGATAAAGTCGACTAGGAAGTCAACGTCTGAAATAGTGCTCATCGCACCTAGACTTGCTCGAATCACGCCAGTCGGCTTTCCAGCGATGACATCTTGGTCAGTACCGCAGCGGAACCCTGCCGAGAAATTTTTTCTCATTTCCCATGGGCTCAGGCCGAGTGCCGAAGCGATGCCTCCGGGACTACAGACACCGCCGGTCCGGATATGTAGGTTCTTCAGCGTGGCGAGCTTTTCGAGCTCGTACAGACTGATCCAGGCTCCGGCACTGTCGCGAACATTAAATGAGATGAGTGGCCCGCTTCCCACCGACGTATCGTTGCGCCATTCTGAATAAATGGTACAAACAGGCAACCCATTTCCGTGTTTGAGGCCGGCAAGCCCATCGTATAGTCGGTTTCTCAGGAATGCCGTGTGCGTTGCTACACGAGCCATACTTCCGAACAGCTCTGCGTGAACGTCTAGAGCAGCATCAAGTCCAATGATATTGTGGAATGGGAGAGTGCCATCCTCCAGCCTCTCGTGAAGGAACATGGACTTTAGAGAGTGCCATCTTTCTTTTCCACAAACGACCATATCAACAGTACCGCCACCAAAATAGCGCCTTTGGTTGAAAATCGACTCAGCCTGTTTCCTAACAATCAAAGCGCCGAGGTCTGGAAAGCCAAAGATTTTGTAAAGACTCAAGACCGTGAAATCGGGTGCCGTTTCCGAGTTACTGAGATCTAGAGGAGAGGTTGCCACTAGCGAGGCTGCGTCCAATAGCGTATAAAATTGCCGGTGCGAAGCGGCAGGCGATTCTCGCAGCAGAGATGGCCACATTAATGGGTAACGTCGCCCATCCATGTGAGACTGGGCCGTGTAGGAAAATAGCCCGGGCGAGTCCGAGGCGTCTGAATCATCCAGAGGAGATTTTCCATCAATCCACTGTCTCACATCGTCATCCGTAACACATCTGCTCTCGCGCGCCTCTTCGCGAACCCCTATTATACTTGTGTGGCAAGCCTCGTGGTACACGTAAGAAAAGCCCTCTGGCAAGGCCCGGAAGGCGTCGGAAACAAGTTTGATCCCAGCTGTAGTGTTGGAAACGAAGATCAAATCATATTCCTCAGGATCAGCATTAAAAAACCGGAGAAGTCTGAGGCGAATATCTTCAATGCGAGAAGTGCTGTATTGAGAAGAAGGGGAAGCGGAGTGGGGATTGCCCAATAGGTTTGACATCAACTCTGCAGAGAACCTGTCAACCAGCGACTTGGCATAGAGCGTTGTTCCGGCATGGTCAAGATATATAGAGTCTGTGTTGTTGGTTAGTAAGTTGAGATAGAATGACTGTAGTTGATGAACCAATGAACCTTTGATCATGGGGTACTCCCTATCCCTGAATTCCTCCACCCGGGAGTTATAAGTTTTCATATCCGCTTTGACCATGGCCGCAGTGTTACCATGAATACAACAGGTGGTGAAAGGGACGATATGTGTTGATAGGCAAGTTTGTTAGGGAGGGGTATGAAAGTAGGTAAACAAGGACGTCGGGAACGTCAGTGACTTAGTGACCCCTCTGTCTAACCAAGACGCCGGATTAGGTGAGACGAAGTGCCGGTCCAAGCCCATGCATAGCCAAGTGAAGGGGTATATAAGATCAGAGATTGTCTGTGTGTCATTGCGGGAGAGAATCCAAACACATTTGCGAGGAAAGAGAAGATTGTCATGAGCCAAGACAGGCATCGTGGGATGGCGGCTTTGTCCGCTGTTCATGCTAGAATGCCGGGCACCTCCGCTGCGTCAATAGGCCGGTCGTCGGTTGCCACAAGCCGTCTGTGGCCGTCATGGGGAAACAGGGGTAGACAGTGCGGTCGTAGGCGATAGGAGCCAACACTGTGAGACCAAACCGTGTCCCATTGCATTAGGTAAGGTACCGCCACGCACGAGCCAGGAAGCAGCAGGAAGGAAAGACCCATCCACCCCCCTTCCACACGCCATCTTCCCCGATCGCGTACGCACGGGCCAGGAGACTCTACCGAACCGTGTTTAATTGAATCGCGAGAAAGCGCGTTCCGCGACCCTGGCATCGCGTCGTTCCCCGGTCATCGTGCTGGCGCGCGCCTACCACTTAATTAAGATTCTGCAGTTCCACTTACAGCCTCGACTTCCCACACTTCATTACCTCCTACCGCACATTGTTTGGTACCTTGAACAAGCTTTCCTGCGTTGTCTACTTGGAATTGTCAGTCACGATTGCCTCTTTACCATAATCACAACCCTCAGCAACAATGTCTCGTGCCTCACTCGGCAAGCGGACGAGGTCCGTCCAGGATCAAGGTAGGCTCTATCACTCCGATGACCCAAACGCACTTTCTTACAGACAGCCCAGACTTGGTCGAGCTTCCTGCCAAGCGTACCAGACGGCAAACTCGAGCTGCTTCAAAGAACGACGAGAATGCGGATCCCGAAGTAACTGCCACCACCCCAGATGCTGACAACGACCTCGACGACACTTACGTTGAGCCGGCTTCGAAGAAGCTCAGACGCTCCCCTTCCCAAAACTTCTTGAAGTCGATCCCAATCACGCCTCAGACCCCGCGCCACCGAGATGTCTACGCGAATTCTCCCTCAACCCCTCGCCAGGTGGTCAAGTCTGCCGGCAAGCTTTTCCAGAGGTTGACGCCCCAATCTCCCCTGACTCCCGGCTCTCTACAAACCGTCTTCCACTCTGCCCGACAACTCTTTGCTCGGGGTGCCGACCCAGGCGAGCTCGTTGGCCGCGAGAAAGAACGAGAGCAATTGACCCAATTCGTTCAGCGCTGCTCCTCCACAACCCCCAATGGATGTCTCTACGTCAGCGGACCCCCTGGAACCGGGAAAAGCGCAATGGTCAAGGAGATTACAGAGAAATCAACAGAAGGGATCGTTGTGCGTCAAGCATACGTCAACTGTATGAGCGTCAAGTCGTCAAAGGACCTCTACAATACCTTGCTGGAGCTCCTTGGACACGAAAACGATTTGCCGGAAGCATTAGCGATGGAGGAATTGCAAAAGATCTTTGTGACGAAGAAGAAAGGCTCGCCTGTCTACTTACTCGTCTTGGACGAAATCGACCACATCTTGACAATGGGGTTGGAAAGTCTGTACCGGTTGTTCGAATGGTCTCTGCAACAGCCTTCGCGGCTTGCGCTTATTGGAATTGCAAACGCACTCGACCTCACGGACCGATTTCTGCCACGTCTGAAATCTAAAAACCTCAAGCCGGATCTTCTTCCCTTCCACCCGTACTCGGGCGCGCAAATCAAGAGTATTATCAGCACTCGCCTAATGACGTTGTTGCCGACCGACAGCACCAACAAGACGCTTCCCTTCTTTCATCCTGCGGCGATTGAGCTCTGCTCTCGCAAGGTTTCGAGTCAGACCGGGGATTTGCGCAAGGCTTTCGAGATCTGCCGAAGAGCACTGGACGTGGTCGAGTCAGAGACCAGACGGCAACACGAGAACGAAGCAAGAGAAAAGGTTCTGCAGATGACACCGTCCCGGAAGCCTCTCGGCGAAAATGCGAATATGGCCGGCTCCAGCGGGTCCTCGAGGAGCGTCTCACACGTCGCCGCAACATCCCTCAAGGCGCTGACAGCCGAGAGCGCACCCCGAGTGCTCCTCAAGCATTTGAACCAAGTTACGCAGGCAGCCTTCAGCAACGGAACCAATCAGAGGCTGAAAGCTCTCAACCTTCAACAAAAGGCGGCGCTCTGCTCATTGGTGGCCCTTGAGAAGCGCAACCGAGCGTTAAGGATGACCACTGGCCCGTCGACCCCCACCAAGTCACAGACGATGGCACCCACAGTCAAAACTCTGTATGATACTTATTCAATCCTTTGTACCAGAGACTCAGTTTTGCACCCGCTGTCAAGCTCAGAGTTTCGAGAGGTCATCGGAAGTTTGGAGACACTGGGTTTGGTCAACCCTGTTGACGGAAAGACAGGTGGACTTGTGATGACACAGACACCAAGCAAGAGAGGCCGCAAGGCGGCGCTTCCCACCGGAGAGGACAAGCGGGTGGCTAGCTGCGTTGGCGAGAAGGAAATGGAGAACATTGCCGAGGGAGTCGGAGCGGGCATTTTGTCGAGCATTCTCAGCGGCGAAGCATTGGATTGATTATTACAGCATAGCATAAAAGTGTAGGAGTACTTGGGGTTATCAGGCATCTTGCATGACATCGGAGTTCGGAAAGGCATGGCACGTGGCGTTTTGGGGGATTTGTTGCGGATCAATGGACATGATCGGAAGGACAGTGGATGTCAAAAGAATAGGTTGTCTGGATATTGATCGAGACGTCACTAGAGAGTTTGGGGAAATAAGGGACTGAGGATCATGAGGCTGAGCCCAGGTCATCAACATGGTATATGCTCGAACAGAGAGCATCGATGGGGGCGCGAAAGAAATAGAGAGACGAGACATTAATAGCATGATACCAGACGGTCAAAACGAAACAAGGCTTGTCGAGGCAGGCAAATATCACCCGAGTCACAACATTGAATGGTCCGGCGCACGCTCAAATGTGAAGTGAGTAAGACGATGAGGCGAAACGAGGGTGAGATGCTGTGGCTCAAGGGTCAGACGAGACGGCCGTGCTCCCAGCGCTCCCTGGTGTTGATTGAGGTCGGCGTTTATTTACCTAGCACCCTAGGTATCCGCAGTGTGTTGCTGACAAGGGAATCAATCAGTCAGTCAACCTTACGCTGTTTCTTCCCGCGAGCCAAGAAAGGTTCCACGTCGCAATCCCAGATCAGGCGGAGATCCGCAGCAACTTTCAAAGAAACGGTGTAACCGCCAAGAAGGCGAATTCTTCTTGGATCTACGAGTCTATATTGCGGAGAGAGGCTCTCTCTCTCTCTCCCTCTCTCATCCCACTCGACGCAGCAATACCTTATCTGGGCTGTTGATCTTGGCCTGCGTCTATGTCCCGACGTCAATGTCGACGAGGGTACCTGGGGAAGGGTACCTAAAGGGCAGTGAGTATGGTCCCCGAATCACATTGTGGTCTTTGCTTTTCAGAACTAAGGTAAGCTAGCGGATTTCCGTATTGTTTCCCATTGTCGCCTCACAAAAACCCGTCCCTCTTCTCTTGAGGCCAGGCTTTGAGATCCGAGGAAGTGAACGAGTAGCATGGTTTATGTCTCGAGGACCGTATCCGTATACAGCAATCTTTTGCAGACAGGGGTGAGGATCGGGAAACGAGGTATCAAAAAGTATCGGATCATTGAGATGTTATCCCGTACGTCTTGTGGTCCGCTATTTTTACATTTTTCTTGTTCCTGAAATCCTGAGTGGACTGGGACGAAATGCTTCACATCCGTGTGTTTTTCTTTTCTGTCATAAATTGCACCACCTTTGGCCGAATGGGGTAAAGCTATTGGTTGACTGATTGGTTGGGATCGTATGCAGGACAGGCAGGCAGGCAGGCAGGCAGGCAGGCAGAGGCAGACAGGCATTGGTTATCAATTGTCTACAAATAAAGACAAGGAAGGGGTCTCCCGTCGGCTGTCGGCATCTAAAATGCAGTGACGGATACCACCTTCGGGCATCCTACAGGTTTGGATCTGCGAAAGGTATGTGGTGTGTGGTCGCCGACTCGCAGAAACGGGTAAGCGATGCTGCAAGAGGGCAGCGACATTGGATCACCTCAGGCACGGGAGACAGGGTTCGGATAAGGCGCCAGCCCAGACATAGCAGGAGCCAGGAGGAGGAGGAGCAACAAAAACAAGGGCACGGGGCATCTCGAGAAGATTTCGAATCGTCGAATAGCAAGACTCGGGACGGGGAGACGGGCACACGGGTACGGGGTAAAGAAGCGTCTCGGGGCAGCGCCAGCTATAGTGAGTGGCATGTCTCTCCTCTTGTCTTGCATGCTTTCACCTTTGTTCCCACTCCCAATCTTTTTTTGTTGCCGTCTCGGAACCAAGGCACGGAGCGGCAGGCAGTTGGGTTGAGAACTTGAGCTGAGCTGAAATTGTTCGGCTGTGCCGCGCATGTTGTACATATTGTGACTGTTGTGTCCCAGAAATGGGCTCCTCCCCACATTCCCGTGCGTCGAATTTGGGCCGCGTTGGCAAGTGCGTGTTTCCGACGGGGAGTTCTCGATTTCTGAATCCTTAGTCAGGCAGTAGCTTTCCCCCAGTGGTGAGGCGAGCGACAACACGTCTTACACACGCACACACGGCAGCCGCCAACACCAAAACGCGTTCAAGGGTAAGAAGGCATAGGTAAGGTATCCGTAGATGGGTACGGAGTATTGCAGGGCAAGGACCTGAAAGTGCACTTTCCATTCTGAGCTGAGCGGGCGGGCGGGAAGGGACCTGGGAAGGGGGGATTTAGGAAGGGACTTTCGAATAGGAAGGGACTTGCTGGGTACCTAACGAGGTACTGGGCGGACAGGGCAGGAGCACCGGGGGATGTACTCCGTACCTCCGTACCGCCGTACGGTGAGATGCCGCAGCCCGCAGGTCTTGAAATGCTTGAGTCCTGACTCTCTCTTCGTCTCCATCCACTTGAGGTGCTTGAGGCTGCTTCCCTGGCCTATTCATTCACCGAATGGAGATCAAGATAGCCAGTTCTTTTCTTCCTGCTGCCCAAAACGACTGGTCCTCCCAAGCTAGAGGTACCTACCTGAAGTATCCCCCCCACCCCGTCCTTTCCTTGCCGCCCTTCCGCTTTATAGGATCGGGGTGTCACTTGTTCGGGTGTTAATGTCGGCCGATGGATCCTGTCTCTTTCTCTATCTTTTCCAGACAAAGTACCTACTTCCGATGCTTCGTACCCCGTACCAATAGTTCAATACTTTCGTCAGTCACTGACAATAGGACCGGCTGCCTCCAACACCAAAAGTCCGTCCGTCCACTTATTCTCCCCTCCCCCTCCATCTACTAGTTTGGCCGGCGTCTCTCCCGATTGCTCGTCACAGCCTACCGCAGTGCCTACCACAATACGACTGTCCAACGTCTGGCTGTTTGGGAAATCAAAGTCCGCGTCCGCGCAATCTACATCCGGCGCACCATCTGTACAGTAATACACACTACGTGGCCCCGACCCCGTCGCCCCAAGTTTCTCTTGCCTCAGGTTGTTTTTCTCCTGAACCCCCGGCACCCACGGGCAATCTGAGACTGTGAACCCTCGAGATTTCCAGAAAAAGCGAAGCTTTCTTGGCAAGGCTCCCTCTTCGCTCTTGGCATATGCAACCAAGAACATCCGCTGCCAGCATCTCTCACATCCCAGCCTGCTATTCCATCATCAAATCAATCCCCCCTCCCAACCAGCCAGCCCGCCACGCCCACGCCCACGCCCGCCTAATCCCCAAGGCCCATACGCAGTATTCGTACTCCGTACACTGAGGCGCTGCTCCAGACGACCAGACGCTCAGAGCACAGGTCCCTTGACCGTCCCGACACACCGAGACCTCGTGGAGTCGGTCCTGAACCCGCCCGCCCGACCTACCGTTTCCCCGTCCTCCAGCCAAGACAATCCACTGGACCACCAACAAACCTGTCGACTCTCGACTAAACCCCCCGCCTAAAGCTGTAAGCCACTTTGGCGTCGCTGTGCGAATCCCCTCATTGCATGTCGACGTCGAGGGTCCAACTCCCGTCGCCTTTGCTGCGCCCCCTTCCCCATCTCCACCTCGAGCCTGAACCCGAGCCTGAGCCTTCTCGCCTTCTCCGCTCAACGAACTCCTCCACCATCGCCGACATCACCGTCCTTGTCACCACCCGCCACGACCGTCACCACCACCGCCACCACCGACGACTCCCACAACCTCACGACACCGCCAAAGGCCCGGCCCACAAGTCGTTGCATACATGGGCGCATATTCGCATTCCAACGGCTCCGTCGAAGAAACAACCTCGTCCACTCGCTCATTCTTCTCTCGCTTCGCTTTGCCCAGCCGATCGCGTTCGCGTAACCTCGCTGATTTCCACGTCCGCCCCGACGATCCCCACCGCCAGTACTCGGCTGGCGAACACGTCTATGGCGCCGTAGTCCTGACCGTAGTCAAGCCCATCCGCATAACCCATCTCACTGTTGCCCTGCATGGCTACGTTCGCGTGCACAAGGGCCCAGCCGTCAGCGAGCCCCCCATCGCGAAACCCGCCTTGTCCGGACGCTCCTCGGCACAGTACCACGGCAACGGCTATGCGTCGCTCTTTCAGGACGAGCAGGTGCTTAGTGGGGAGGGCAGGTTGGAGGCTGGAAAATACGAGTTCAAGTTTGATTTAGTTTTTCCCGAAAAGGGCTTACCCAGTAGCATTGATGTACGTCCGGACTTCGCGACTAACGTGGCGAGGCATACTTGCTAACGCGCTCCATTCCAGTTTGAACGAGGCACGATTTCCTACATGATAACAGCAACTCTGACGCGTCCGACCTCGATATCTCCGACATCATCCTGCGATCGAAAAATCCAGTTGGTCGAGCAAATAGACATTGGCTCCCTCGCGCCGCCTCGCCCCCGAACCATCTACCTCGAGCCAATCTCCAAGAAATCGAGACGAAAGCGGACCGCTGGCAACGACAAGAATGCTGCCACAGTGGAAACTACGGAGCAAGGGTCAGATGCTGAGCAGCACGATGCTGAGCGTGTGGTAGAGTCACCAGCGCCGACAGAAGATCATCCGCATGATCCGCTCGAATACCCCCGAAGCCCAACGCACACCGATATACAGAGCGAAGTCAGCGGCGACAGTACCGTCAGCTCGAGCACGGGTATCAGTCTGGCTAGGGCTGAGCCTCAGTTGGCCAGCAGCTCGCTGACAAATTCAAAAATGCAAGCTGTCGATGAAAAGACGATTACGGCAACGATTGAGATGCTGAAGGGCGGGGCTTTACCAGGCGACACAGTGTCAGTCAAGGTCTCGGTGCAGCACATCAAACGGATAAAGAGCATGCATGGTGTCATTGTCACCATGTACCGGCAGGGCAGGGTTGATACGGCACCGCCAGCTTCCATGTTCGCCGACATCATGTCGAAAGAAGAGACCCGCAAGCTGGCGAAAGAAGACTACTACCCGCGGTCACGGACTGGGCTTGGTGGCCTTTCGCTGACCTCGACTTCGTCACTGAGCGTCTTCCGGAAGGACCTGTCCCAGTCTGTTGCTCCACTCATTATCGATCCAGTTACGCTGGAAACGACGGTGACAGCATCGCTCAAGGTGCCCGAAGATGTTTTCCCGACCATCAAAGGCGTGCCTGGGGATATGGTCAGCTTCAAGTACCAAGTGGAGGTCCTGGTCGATTTGGGTGGCAGGCTCGCGAGCCAACTTCAAGGTGGAGGCCAGTCCAGGGTAGCTCAGTTCGCACCCGGGTCGGGAGCCACCGATGGCAACAACGCGGCGCTCAACTCGTGGGGAGGAAACGTGATAGACACGGATCGGTTACGACGCGAAAAAGGTGTCATATCGGTCGTTTTTGAGGTCATTCTAGGTTCTACGGATAGTTCAAGGTTACGCGGGCGGAGTAATACGTTGCGGACGTTGCAGATGCGAGAAGGATCGCTCAGCAGGGAAGAAGTTTCTAGCCCCTGGCCGACGGACGATATCCACGCGGACGACGGTGAGAGCTACTGGCCGCAGCCTCCCGAGATGCCGGGCCCTCTCAGCCGGCAGCCTACGATCACGATACACCCCACGAGTCCTCCAGATGAGATGCAAGCACCAGCTTACGTACCTCCCCCACAAGTTCCGGACGAGGGTAGCATGACGGAGAAAGAGCGGGCACGGCGTCAAGAAGAGAGACTTTTACCGAGTCGACCGCCCCAGATATCAGAAGCGGGCCCGTCAGGGGCATCAGCACCGGAGCCGAACATCTACGACGCCGAGGACGAGCCCCAGTCCGAACTGCAATCGCACCACGGTGCGAATGTGGTGGAGGAAGAGGCATCCGCGCCAACGCTGGAAGATATATCTACCCATCAAGAAGCGCGGACAGAAGACAAACAGGAGCTCGAGCGGCAACGGCTGCTGGTCGAAGCCAGCGCGCCACCGGAATTCCCAGACGATTACGATGCGGGACCCAGTGCGTCGGCATCGGCACCGCCAGCGGACGTGGCCGAGCCGTCGGCGCCGGTACTAGCGGACGAAGACGACTACGGGCAGCAGTACAGTTACAGCACAGAAGCAGGCGCTGGACAGTCCAGCCACCAACACCACGCAGCAGGCTCAGAACCGCTGCCGAGGTATGAGCGATGATGACACATTGGGAGAGGGGTGGGGAGCACGAGGTACGAAGAACCATGGTTGAATAGTGTATAATAAGTGTGGTTGTTGTGAGCATTTGCGAGTGCGTCATCTACAAAGTAACTATAGAGACACGAACGTGTGAAACGAAAATTTGAGAGCGAAAATACAGCAAGCAATATGACATATATTTCAAGTTCACCGCGTTGTCTCGTAACACTTATGCATAAGTGATATATCTAGAGATACGTAATGGTATTGTGAGGAGTGAAGAACCAAGGTCTTGGCGAGGTAGCTTGTTCGGCCCCCCTAGCCGCATGGCATGTGCAGATTGGGCGCTCGGCGAGCCGATTTGACGTGCGATGCACTCGGCAGCCACCCATCTTGGCACGAAGGGTTATCCCGAGTGTTTGGCACCACGGCGTTTGTAAGGCGGCGGGCCATGGGGGCTGCTTGATTCCACCTCCCCCGCCTCTTGGCTGCGAACCATCTCAACTTCTTGAGATGTAGTCGAGGTCTGCCTACGTCGTAGACAGGAGTGATGGGTAGGATAGGAAGGGAGGGGGGGTCCTAAGGGACACCGGGTCGTGGGGGAGGGGGAAGAACGAACGGAAGGGATCTGGTTACACTAGTCTATTTTTCTGACTGCCTTCACAAATCTCATGTATTCCGTACTCTTCATAGCATGCTTGCTTGTTGGGACTTGGAACATGAGAAGGGGGGAAACGGGGGACGGGTGATCCACCGCTGCGACAAGACCCAAAAAATGCTTGTCGAGGCTTGATTTTGGCGATCAAACGCTGCTTTCCCTGTCTTGTCTCTTGTTCCTTTTTTTTTTTTTGTTACAGATTGTCGACGGAAGGGGGGATTTGATTCCCGCCCGGTTCCGCCGGTTCTGCCGTTGGCGGATTTTCCGGCATTTCCTTCCATCTCCCCCTTGGCGAAACTTGGAAGATGCGCAAAGGGCAAAGCATAGGCTCGATTGCCCCATTTCGGCTCCGGAGGCCTAGCGTTGAGCAGATTTTCGAGGTATGGGCTTCTGCTGCTTTTCCTACGCTAGTAAAATCATGCGTTTGTAGTCAACACCTTGGTGGTTTATGATTCCAACAGTTTCCTCTTAGTATGGCACTACTGGGATACCCAAAAAGTCACACGCAATTCCTACTAGAAAGAAGATGCGCATACAACCCGTGCGTGACGTTGTTACGTTGGTCGATGACCTGAGGTTGTAGTCGGCGTCAGGCCAGATGAGAGGTTGTCGTTTCTGAAGGGGACCCCAAGGCTCCAGCCAAGGAGCGGGAACGAACCGGGGGGAGGGGAGGAGGGAGAGTTTGAGACGCCAGCCAACTCGTCGAGACAACCGTCGCCGCAAAAGCTTGGCGGTTCGAACGGTAGGAACGGTACGGTACCGTTCCTTCGAGGGGGGGAGGGGAGCGCCGCCCGCCCGGGGCGGCTGGGCTGGACCCCTTTGGCTTGGCATTGACTGCGACTGTGGTAGGTATATCCTCCTACCTAAGGTTTTACTGCCCTCGTTTTGATAGGTGTAGCTGTGGCAGCTAAACGTATGAACCTAAGGTAGATCTGGCAGCTCATGTGATTTTGATTGCTTGGTGTGCGTCTGTGGTACACCGTTCGTGAGGAGTGATGGAGAGTTTGTGAGGTTTTTTTTTGCTTGCAGCCAATGGGAAGAGGAACGGCGGATGCTCGGCATGAGTTATCATGCCTCTGGATGGAATCTCTGAACGTTTGGTGGCTGAGTCTCGTGTGTGCATATGTTTTCTCCCAGACTCTGAGGTAGGTACGCTATAAGCAGCAAAAAGGCTTAACTGCGGTTTTGCTGTTCTCTTCTGTTCGTACTGCCGCTAATTACTGCGCAATTGGGAATGGGAAGATGTTGGCTGGTGGATTCGTTCGGCACGCTCATGCGGGTACCGGACGGGGGGTTGTTCACTCACATTTCTCACGGTTGGGGGTCCATCTCGATGCCTTTGGACCCAAAGTAGAGGTTTCGAAGAAGATTCCCATTAAATTGTGAAGGGATTGTTAAAGAGTGACACTTGATGTTTTGGATTGGGAGTGGTCGTTATGATTGCTCCTGGTTCGTCAGCTTGCGTAGGTATTGTTCATGCTGAATTCGCGTGTCGCCTAGTGCAGTGCTCCCAAACCTGCAGTGGGAAGAAGATGTCTCACCGGTCCGCGTGAGAGTGTTAGATCATTCGGGACGAGCGACGTACGTAGCAATGTCTCGCTGGAGATGGGCCTCAGTCTCCCAAGATGAGTCGCATGACTACGTTCATGTGCACAGCCCGAGTCGCCAGACTCCATGTTCAAATCTCAAATTCACTCGCTTTGCCTTCTCCCTTTTCTTTGCTCTCCATGCGAGACAAGCGCCCGCGCAGATGCATATCGCATGGGGAGGGAGCAGCAAACGTTAAGCGCGGAGCCTACGATGATGAGTCCAGCTGTCCTAGCCACTTTGGCGGCAACCAATGACCTACCTACACTAATTCTGTCCGAACCAAGGTGCCTCATTCGGTGTTAGCACGACACGAACCGAACCTCGGAATCCAAACATCGTTGGGGTGGGAGTCTGTCATCATGGCGTTCAATGCTGCGGCATGTACCGAATGTACATCCATCTATGCAACGCGCCCAAGGCGAACGAACGAACGAACGAACGAAAGAACGAAAGAACCTATGGTTGGGAATGGGAACGGACCGCCTTTGGATAGGAGGGTGGGTAGGTAGGTAGGTAGGTAATGACTGATGGCCCACCAACCAGCAACTGCTCCCCTTGGAAGAAAAAGACAATGTAATCATGTGAACAAACGACGTCAAGGACTGCCAACATCATCAATGGCAAAAGAGAGAGAGAGGGAGAGAGAGAGAGAGGACGCATCACCAACCCGCCACCGGGGACACGCATCCGGCCAATCAGGGTACCCACCTTTCCCCCAAGTTGTGGCTGGGCGCCGGCGGTGTCGCTTGCCTGGCTGAGCCTGAGCCTGGCCCTGCTGCGCTTTTTCACCGTAAATGGTTGGGTCCGTAGGGTCAGGTCTGCAAGGAACAGTCATCACCTCAGCCATGCCGGGTCTGAACAGAGTGCTGGGCGGTAGAAACCCCCTTCCAAATGTCCATTGTTGGACACCGGGGGCCCCGTAGCTAGGTACCTTAGTGTGGTGCCAGTTGGTTCGGGATTACTCACGGGTACCTCAATCTATCGCGCTCATCGGGCCTTGGCCGATTGTATCTTGTAATGTGCCCTTTCCTCCCCCCCCGCCCCGCCTAAAAACGTGTTCCGTACGAATACAGTACCTAAAAATCGGGTTTTCTCGCTCATTCGGTCCCCAGTGCCACTTACGGCGTGCGCAGCTGTCTTTGGGGGCGCTGTCTTGACGGGGATGGATGGGGCAGGAGAGAAGAAAAAGCTTCGATTCTCGGCCCCGCAGCTCATCGCTCTCTCCGAATGGACGACATCTCAGACCAAGTGACCTCAGCACAAGCAAAAAGGAAAAGCACCTTAATCTGCATGCTGGCAGCAGTGGCAGCTGGGTAAGGGTACCAAAGTACCTATCCGACTACGGATACCTGCACCACCTACCCTATGTGCCTAAGGAACTGAAGAAAAAATGCTTAGACTGAAAAGTACTGGGCTGATACGTCGTACCTTACACCTCCACTGTGACTTGAGGTGGGGGAGGGGGAGCCACCGGGCAGCATCGCCCAGCCCGTCACTTTCGATGCAGAGCAGGGATCTCCTCGAACCTGTCACTAGGCCACTCACCTCTTCACTGCCTTACCTTACTCCATACAGATAGAGAGAGGAGGCGGGGCCCTTTTTATCGACACACGTTTCCGCCTTCTTGCTGTCTCGGATTTCTTTCATCTCACACACTCACTCTCATCCACCTTCTGTCTTTTCTCTCCAGATTCTCCATCAGTCGGCCTCTCACTCTCGCCTTGTCTGAATAGCTTCATTGTTTCACAACATATAAATAACAAAACACAAATCTACACACACACACACATATATACAAGATGGCCAGCAACGACTACTACAACCAGGGTGGCAACTACAACAACCAAAATTATGGCCCTCCTCAAGGCGGCTACCCTCAGCACCCCCAAGCTGTAAGCACTTCACTTTCACCCTACCCAGTCCCAGACATTCTCACTGCCGGCGCATTCCAATCCCCCTCGCCCATATCATGGCGATTTCCATGCGCCGGAACCACACTCTACACGCAATCGCAAACCTGAAGGCGAGAAAACAAAAAACAATCACTTACATCTCAACCACAGGCCTACGGTCCCCCTCAAGGAGGCTACCAGCAGCAGCAGGGCGGCTACTACCCCCAAGGCGGCCAGCCGCCCATGCAGTACCAGCAACAGCCTCCCATGCAGGCGCCCCGGCAGAAGAAGCAGGGCGGCGGAAACTGCCTGACGGCCTGCCTCGCTGCCCTGTGCTGTTGCTGCGTTATCGACGAGACGTGTGAATGTTGCGCAGAATGGTGAGTGTTTTTCCTTCTCTATCCTTATCTCATCCATCATTGTCAAAAACGGTGGCTAACAATCCCCCTCAGCTGCGAGTGCTGTTTCGACATTTGCTAAACGAACTGAAAAAAATCTCTCACCACTTGCTTAACGAGCTAGAGCGAGATGTATTTCTCTCATTTGGGATCTCGGAAAATCTGACATCCTCGGCGTGTCAAAAGTACGCGGTCTGTGGTTCTCCGTTGAAAAGAAAGTGGGGCACCCGACGGGATCACGGCAAATACCTTGCCTCGAACAACAAAAACTGTAATTGGCTCCCCAACAGATCAAACTCCAGGGCGCCCCGAGCTTTTTCCTGTGAACGACGACGAAAAAAAGTAAGAGGAGAAGAAATGGATGGAAATCAATGGAAATCGACGGCTCTATTTTTTTTTTGCGACGTCGCACGGCTCAATCGGCCAGGCCAGGCGCAAAGCAAACGGCACAATCCTGAGACGACGAAATGAGTTGGGATGGGCTAGGGACGAATCGAATCGATTGGAGGAAACGGGAAATTTTTTTATTTTATTTTTTGGGAAGGGAACGGGTTCACGATGGGTTCAGCGTACCTCGTTGATTACTTTCCCCAAGGGCGTTCATGGCGCTTTTCTTCCTCTACCTATCAACCTGGTTGAAATTCTTGTCGGTGGGCGCATTGTTTATGCGCCATAATGACTTTCTTCCCTTAGTAGTCCTTTGGAAAATGAACATTTACACCTCCTTACATTTGAGTTTGAACCCGTGGTCGACGTGACAAAGGGTGAGCATCATGAACATCAAGAACCCGGTTGACGAAATCGACAATGGCTCAAATGCATATCTGCATCTCCTCGGCGTACGAACTGCGGCATGGCATGACAATGTGAACTCAAGGAACATCAGGAGAGATTGCCTCCTCGCTAGAATCACAGGTAAAAGCAACTTGGCAACCAAAGTTAGGACATAACACCGATATTTTTATTCCTATCAAACGCAACTAAGCACCTCACCAACCCAGGATCATTCTTGGTCGAGAGGCCCAGGGCGTGATTCATCGCTGGCCGTCATGGAGACTTTCGACTTTTTTTTAACCGCTTTCCATCAACTCATACTTAGTTGTCCAGCTGGACATAGTTGGCAGGGAAGAGACCCTGCTTGCCACCGTAGGAACCGAACCACCAATCCTCGTCAGGGAACTCGAGGTCCTTGATCGTTGCATTCTCGGGGAAGGAAAGTTCTACAGAGAGAGCGTTAGCATCGTTGCATGAAGGGGTTAGAGGTTGAGCGCTCTTCTTACCATTGTCCTCGGCGGCCTCGTAGTCGAACTGTGCGGTGGCTGTTCGGCCACCACCGGCAGCTGCCGGTTCCGGCTCCGCTTGCGCCGGTGCGGGAGGAGGCGCGCTCCGTGCCGCCGGCGCTGGTTCAGGCTCATCCTCGACAAGCTCGACGTAGTTGCTGGGGAACAAGCCGCTCTCGCCGCGGGAGTTGGTACCCATCCACCAGTCCTCGTCCACCATCTCAATGTTTGTGACATACTCGCCCTCGCGAAGCTCAAGCTCGTTGTCTTCCGCCTTCTCGTAGTCGTATTGGATCACGGCACGCTTGCCGCCGCTGTCTGCCTGGCCTGCCGCAACCTGCTCCTGGCCGAATTGCTGCTCTGCGACAGCCGCCGCAGCACCACGGCCGGCGTCGTTGTCTTCCGGAAGGTCCTCCTCTCTTGGCAGCTCTTGGTGAGTAGGAATAGGACGGGGAGGTTCTCTCTCCTCGGGCGCCTCCATCTCGACCTGGGGACCACGAGACACGGGCTGCGCAACTCTGATGGGGGACTGCGGCTCCTCCTCCTCTTCCTCCTCGGGTGCCGGCCTGGAAGGCAGACCGGGCAGAGCGAATCCACCGGCCGGGGGAGGCCGAGAACTGCTAGGTGGGGGAGGAGGAGACGGTTCATCGTACTCTTGTTGCTCCTGTTCGCGGGGGATGGGCGGGGCCCCACCGGTGAAGCGCTCCTTGAGGGCACCGATGCCACCGCTGGGAGAGGCAGGCGTCTCGATACTTCGCTGGGCATCCTCGCCAGTGTTCTCTTGGCTGATGGAGCCCTTTCCGTACTCGGGCATCTTGACGGGTCCCCATGACTTGCCAGAGTAGCCGCTCTTCCATTCTCCGGTCGACTGAACGCCAATGGGAGAAGTGATTGGAGGCGAGACAACGTTGGAGACGGATCCGCCCTGCTTTCCCTTCTTTTCGGCCCAAAGCTGAGCTGGCGTCTTGCCGCCTTGGTCGGCAAAGGTCCGGCTTGCGGCACCCACTGGTGGGGGGGCCGGGGTGGAGGGTGCGCCGAGTCCAAGACCGGGCGCGGGGGCCTTGGTGCCGGTGAAAGCGGCCGCACCACCAAACTTGTTGGCAACCTTGGGCTTCGGCAGCGATGTCAAGCGCTCTGACTGGTTGAATGCGGCGCTTCGCTCGGCGAGCGACTTGGGCCGCTCGTCTTCCTCAGGCTCTTGTGCCGCAGCCTCTGAAGGCTTCTGTGCCTTGGCGCGAATAGCTGCAATGTCGACCTTGCCGATAGGTTCGTAGGCACCCTTGACAGGGGCAGGCCTATCGTCTTGCTGATTCTTCGCTGCGGCGCGAATCGCAGCAATATCCACCTTTCCAACGGGTTGGTATGCGCCCCTCACAACGTCAGGCTTGTCTTGCGAGCCGTTTCCGTTGAAGCCGGAAGGTTCTTGCCGTTGCTTCGTGAGCTCTGCCATGTTGACCTTGGTGGGCTTATACGCAGATTGGACCTTTTCGAGCTGGGACCGGGTGACCTGAGGAGCATCGTCTCCCCAGCCGTCCTCATCGACGCCGGCGGGCTTGCGGTTTCGCGCGGCAACGATGGGGTTGACGCCGCTTGATGATGTGGTGGGTGTGAAGACGGGCTTAGAGGCAACCGGAGGTGGGGCAGCGGAAGACGTGGAGCCGCCTGCTGAGTACTTGGCACCGGAGGCATCGGCAATCTTGCGCATGACGCTCTCAGGCTCGAGGTCGCTGTCTGAACGAGCGGTGATCTGGACGTGGTAGCCGTGAAGGATCTTGGAAACGGCGGCGGTATGGGTGGTGAAGTAGCCCTTGGTTCTCTCGGGGACACCGCCTCCGCACCAGGCAATCAAGGCGTTCTTGGGGAGGCCTGAGTTGGAGTCCTTGACCTTGACGAAAGCGAACTGGATGCGGCCCTCGTTGAAGTCTTCGATGAGCTCCGAGAGCTCGCCATCTGCGTAGGAAAGGACACATGTCAGCGCATTGTCTTCCCCCGAGCGACGTCGGGAGCTCGGGCGAAAGAGCGGGGGAACTTACCACCAGTGCTCTGGACCTTCAGCACACTCTCCTTGTTGCCGCTGTCCTGGAAAGCATTGGCCAAAGGAGCCTGGACTGAGAATAGAGCCCATTGAGCGTATGTTGGGGAGCTCGAGTTCGGGGGCGGGCCGTTGATGACTCCCTGGTAGCTGCTCTTGATGGAGGGTCCGTTGATGGACAGATTGAGTGACGCCATTGCGAGTTTGGGCAGTAAGCTCGACTAGCAGTGGTCGTCGATCGTTGAGTCGTCAGTAGATGAGGAGATTAGTGAGGGGGGGTAAAGAGGTATAATAGTAGGGGGGAAGATGTTTGGTCGTAAAGGTCTCCGTCGGAGAGTCGCCTATGTCTGACGGGCAAGAAGCTGACGTAGCAAACCAGCCCTCTTCTCTATTGCAGAAAGTCGTGGACAGCCGAGAGTTGGAGAGGCGCAGCACAGGTGGAACTAGAACTTGGAGGTGAAGCACGGTCCCGCCAGCATCCAATACGCGGACGGTCGGTTACGCAGCTCAGCGTTGTTCAGCGCTGGCCAGGTGTCGAGGCGGGGCAGGCTGGGCAGCTAAGGTACCTGACTGACTGGCACTGCAGCCTGGGAGGGGAGGGGAGGAGGGGGAGTTAGAGCCAGCGAACGGAGTACGGAGTACAGTGACACACTGTGCTCCGAAGGTGCTTGCCGCTTTCGCTCTCCGCTTCGGGCCTCTGCACTGCTCTAGTGGGGCAGCTTGGGCATGGCAGGCTTCGTCCCCCGCCGAGTGGAATTCTTCACATATGTAATTATACCACATAAATCTTGCGACAGATGACGCAACTCGAGGCTTTCTCCCATACAGTCATCAACCAATGTAGTAATCCCATCTCCTGCCCGCGGAGATCGCTGTACCCGGCACAATCGCAGCCACCCCGAAAAATCACGACTTGCCCCTCCAAACAATACCCCTCCACCCGACGTATCGGAGACCCGTGGTTTATCAGCCGTTGGACTTGTCATTCCGCGATTCAACGACCGACCGAACCCGTCCCTCTTCTCAAGTGCGTTCCACAAGACTCTACGACTCCACGCGATTCCCTCTCACGGCTTCCTTTCTCCGATTGACCCCAAACAAACCCTCGTCGCATCACCTCCAACAACCGACCATCTCAAGAGTTCGCGATCCGCCAAAAACACACAATGTCGACGATCACGGAGATCACCAGCCTTGCCGACTGGGAGAAGCATATTGCCTCCACCCCGCCTTCCACCCTCCACATCATCTCCTTCCATGCACCATGGGCCGCCCCATGCGCCCAGATGGCTACCGTCCTCTCGACCCTTGCCTCCGAATACCCCGTCACCAGCCCCCCGCAGACATCCTGGGTTTCCATAAACGCCGAAGAGCTCAGCGACATTAGCGAGACATACAACGTCACCGCCGTCCCCTTCCTCGTTCTCCTGCGCAACGGCCAAGTCCTTGAGACCGTCAGCGGTAGCAGCGCTGTCAAGGTCCGCAATGCGATCGAGACACACGCCAAGAAGCCCGCCGGCGCGGCTGCCACAGTAAATGGCAACCAGGGCGTCGAGAACGGTCCCAGCGCGATGCAGGTTGACGAGCCCGTCGACCCGGCCAAGGCCAAGGAGGAGTTGTTCAAGCGCCTGGCCGACCTTGTCAAGGCTGCGCCCGTCATGCTCTTCATGAAGGGTACCCCCAGCTCACCTCAGTGCGGCTTTTCAAGACAGCTTGTTGCCATCTTGAGAGAGCACTCGGTCAAGTACGGGTTCTTCAACATTTTGGCAGACGATGAGGTACGACAGGGCCTGAAGGAGTATGCCGAGTGGCCGACCTACCCTCAGCTCTGGGTTGATGGTGAGCTGGTTGGTGGCCTTGATATTGTAAGTTTGAGGTCTCAACAATCGTGGCTGACTTACATATGCTAATATCATTCCTTCCCTAGGTCAAGGAAGAACTCTCCAACGATCCCGAGTTCTTCGGCCCGTACAGCATCAAGGCCAGTGCTGAGGCCGCTGCCTAAACCGCCTAGTCATCAACAACATCCTGCATATTCACGCCTGTCCGGTTCTCACCGTGCAAGACGTGACGATTCTCGTCGTCTTTACATACCCATTCACATTTGATTTACATCCTTGCCCGGCCAACCTGAATCCAAAACCTAGCTGGTCTTTGGATGGGGCGACGAAACAGTTTTGAGTGCGATCATGTCATTCGCCAAGCATCGTTTGAAGGGCTCCATGGTATCTCCGATCTGGGGAGATTGGCCGGGAAGAAGCATTGGGAAACTGATCGAAAAACATCCTTGGTCAAGACACTACGAGTCCCAGCTCAGAGATTCGGCATGGCCGGAGTAATCATCGTTTCCAAGACGCAGGCCCGGCAACACAAAAGTTGACGCATTTGAAGACATGAGAACATGAGATGAGGAGGCGATTTCAAAAGAAGCGGATACTTTCAGGTACCTTGGTTAAGGCTCGTCTTCACGTTATCGTTAATGACAATGGAATCATTCAAGGCAGTCTGCGGCCCCACTTCTGTGACATACCCTCTAGACATGGTGCTTCAAGTCTTTCGTCCCTAGATGAGAGGGCGCTCAAGTCTGACGGCTGCGGAAATGATACTTTAACCATGTTCCTAAGTGTCTGTCTGACACAACGTCCATCATTGTGTATAACACGTTTCACTGCTGGGCCTCGATAAGTAACAGTCACCTCTTGGCCGAGACCAAATTCTACTAAGCTGTATTCAACAGCCTAACCTGAGGAAATGTCCATCTGACGACGTTAACCCCAGCTTCGTGGATTCCAGGGCTGAGAGGGATAGTGTCCGAGCTGAACAACAATGTAACCGCTGCAGCAGCCTTCGTCTTCATGAATCTTTTCATCTCCTCAACATCCCATGAACAGCCCGGTTGACACGCTCACAGGCCAGCCCAAATGGGTTGTCTCTGGCTGTTGCTACGTCAGTGAAGGTGAGTCGAATGCCATGGGATACAGTCATCACATGAGGAAACCTGACAGAACACGCTGCAAGCCAGATCATGTCTCGTAAGGTCTTGTGCGACGACCTCATTTGCGTGGTCGGTAGACTCGTCTTACCACCTATTCAGCCATTGGGGTATGAGCTGATAATGGTGGTGGCAAGACCATAAGGCGTCAACAACCCCATATACAGTCACTTCCAAGTGTGTAACCCAACAAGCCATCGTAGCACTATACCAAACCTTGAGGCGGGCATCACAACCAGGCTCGGCACCCTGGTGGCTGTGGCCGTGGGTGATTCACCTGTAGATGAAGTTGCCTAGGCAACCTGAGGTATCTCACCTTTCCGCCCATCACCTCAAGGTCAGATGGAAAAAAGGGCGCCCACACGTGATCTACCGTCGAGAGAAAGCCTTCATATGCCCCCTCAATCCCATTCTCGTCACCAGCACAGCAGGCGCCCTCTAGGTCGGGGGTCAGGTCAAACTGTGGCGTGGGTGGTGGAGTTGGTTAAAGGTCAACAACTAATTACGCCCATCTACAGCCTACTCGACGACAGGCTATCCGAGTTCGAGTCCCAGCATGAGCACCAAGAGATGTAGCCCCCAGATCAACACTGGGGGGGTGAACTCTTTTTGGTTCATGTAGTTTTGATATTTTTGATATACCCATTCTAAGCAGGAGGGAAGGAAGGGGCGGCCAACTCTGGTATCTTCTTTTTCATCGCCCCTTTACTTAGATTTCATGTCAGCACGATTGCCGATATGTGGGAGAGAAGGCTCTACACAATGCCAAGCATGAACTTGGATCATTTCTCATAAGATCTGTACTACCCTAAGTGAGGAAAGTATAATCGAACACCCCGGCACTGCGGTGATTCAACGTGAGAGAGTTGTGGAATGTTGCGCAAAATTTACTGCTGACCTGACCACTTTCCACTCCTATAGCCTAAATGGCTTCCCTGCACCATTTCGCAGTCATCCAGCAGCTTCAATATGTTTACTACTATTATATGCAAGCAACAGATTGAAAAATGCTTATCCGCTGCTGAATCCGTTTGGCATGATCATGAACTTAAGTCTGAGAAAAGTCGGGCCAAACTGGCTCGACCCTGCCTACACTAATTCCTGAAATAGTTTTGAAAGCCATATCATATGAACATTCGACAGTGGGAAATCCTGAACCTTGGTTTACGCTTATTGTCTACATGTAATCTCATACCATTCAACCCCAATGACACGATGATTGAAGCTACAAACAATGAGTTCATCAATCATCCAACCCCCAATCCCAACCCCTCCAAACGCAATCCTCCACCCCCTATTCCTCTGATAAACATCTCCTACATCACAACAACCAAAAGCACCGTAACAGCGCCAAAAACAGCAGCCACATACCCACCCCCTCGCGTCGCCCTATACCCCGCGTTAGGCACAAGCACAGCAGGCGACGTCGCCACCGCAAACGACCCACCAGTCGGCGCCGCGGCACCAACACCGACCGCCGTCGCGAGAATCATGGACGTCCAGAGGGACGACGGCAACGTGATGCTGGGGCCGATCTGGACGACGGGCGTCGCGCCGGCGTCGACGCCGAGCTGGGGTTGAGGCGTAGGCACGATGACTCCCGTGGAGACAGAAGTGCTGGATTGCTTGTCTCCCGTGTTGCTCCCGCTGCCAGAGCCGGAACCAGAACCGGAACCGGTCTCACTATCGGACTCGGTGTCGGAGTCATCACCTGACCCCTTTCCTGAACCACTGCCGGAACCGCCGCTCTCATCTCCGCTCTTGCCGCCGCTTCCGCTTCCGCTATCGCCCCCCTTTTCGCTTTCCTTGCCTCCACCAGCAGTAGTACTAGGCACAGGCGTCGCCGAACCCCCGCCAGCCGTGGCAATAGAACTCTCCGTAGTCGACGCAGGGACATCAGATTTCACCGAGTTCAGCGGCGCCCCGCCATCCGCAGGCAGGGTCCCCTTATACGGCAACGCACCGCCCGAACTCACAGCAGACGCCGGCGCCGGCTCAGACGACTGAGGCTGAGGCTTCGTCACGGCCGTGTCGTTGCTCGGCGGGGTCGAGGGCGAGGGAGCGGCGATGGGTACGGGAGCTACGGCGGCGGGCTCGGTGACGGGGAGGGCGGGCAGGCCGGTCGGGGTGGCGCTGCTGCTGCTGTTGGCTGCTGGGTTCGCGGCGGGAGGGAGGATAGGGGGCTCGCTGGCGGCTGGGGGCGAAGGGACGGTGGTGTTCTTGGGTACGGGGATGGTTACGATTGGTAGAGAAGGCGTGGTTGGAGCTTCTGGCGTGATGCTGGTGCGGTTCGCTGGTACTTCTGCGGCTGGTTGAGTGGCGGCGGGCGCCTTGCTCTCGGCCGGCTGCTCAATCTGTTCTTAGTATGTGCTATGCTTTGGGACGATCCAGGGGAAACTTACCTCGGCGCTTGGAGCTGTCTGGTTGTTAGTTGGCGCAAGTGTCGGGAAAGCCGGGCCTGAGTCCGGGATCGTGGAGTAAATAGGGGTAGGAGTGACCTCGGCGTTCGCGGGGGCCGTCTGATTCTTGGTGACCGAAAGGCTCGGGAACGCCGGGCCAGAATCCGGGATCGTGGAGTAAATCGGCGTGGGCGTGACCTCAGCGCCGCCACCACCCGGCGGGCCCGTCTGGTTCTTGGTCGCTGACAACGTTGGGAACGATGCGGGCGCGGAGGCGGACTGGATGGTCGAATATATCGGCGTCGGGGTGGTCTCGGGGGCCGCTGGAGTTTGGTTCTTTTCGGCGATGCTCGTGAGCGGTTTCGAGGAGTTGCGAGGGACGGCTTCATCGGGCACAGGGGCGGCTTTCTCGTCAGGGGTCGCGGGCTCCTTCTTGGATCTGCCGCCCTCCTGTTTGGAAGGGGAGACTCCAGGCGCGGTGCCATTCGAGATGCCGTTATTCGACTCGTCAGGCTTGACGAGAGCAGCTTCCGTAGGGGTAGCCTCCGCGACAGCGACGCCGGCGGGGATAGCATCAGGGGGCAAGACGCCAGAATACACAACCTTGGGGGGGCCAGCGGCCGCGGTGACGATCTCCACCTGCGCCGGGTCCGCTCCGAGAATCGTCTGGATGACGGGCTGCTGGGTGAGTTGGGTAATCTGGAACGGTTCGGACACGACGAAGGCCTGGACTGAGTCCGTAATGACGATGGCGAAGCTCTCAAAGGCCGTGATGGAGGCGCTGGGGTTCCAGTTCAGACGGCCGACGTTGTCGACTTGAACTGCAATTAAATTTTGGTCAATTATTTAAGTCCAGTAGATATTCATATTGGCTCGGGAAATTTACCTGCAATCTTCTCTGCAATGACTGACAAGTCCGTCTTGCCACTAGGAACCAGGTCGATGTTGACAGGGGCCTGTAAGCCCGCCGTCTGCCACTCAACCTCGAATTGCTGGTTCGGCATCAAAACATCCCCGGCCCTCGGCTTCGAAATCTGCGCGCTGCATACCGAAACACCGAGCAAAAGCCCCAGTGATGATGTAAACCGCATCTTGTCTTTTTGATAGGTTTCTTGAGATATTCTTGTCGAGTATGAAATGTACCAAGTCCACCCAAAATAAGTAACCACGTGTCGAGTATCGTAAGTTTTAAATTAGAGGAAATCAGCCAACTGGGGCTCGGGTATCGAAAGTCGAAAGGGCGGGCGTGTAAAACGAACGGAATGCTTGAAGTGAAGCTGACCTGCAGGATAGGTTGGAAAAAAGAAGGGCGTTCAAACAAAAAAGTGAACAAGAGTTAGCAAATAGAATCGAAGACGCAACTCGAAAACAGTGTAACAAGAAGTGAATGAAGAAACGGAAGATCAAGAAGAGAAGCAACAAAGAAGAGGGGAGCCACTTTGAGATCCTCGCTTCCCGGGTCGGGAAGGGTTTTGATGGGATGGATCTCTCCCTCTCCCTCGCGGCGCGTGTAAGTCCAACAACTCCTTGGACAGGGGGCCTCGTGGGCAAACCGCACCAGTTCCCCAGAACGTCATCCTAAGCTTAAGGAGAAAAAAGCTGGGCAGGGGGGTG